GTCGCTAGTCATATGTCTATACTTACCATGGACTGTTTTATTACCCTTTCTGTATGAGTGAGTGAGTAAGTCGTGTTTAACGCCGCTTTTAACAGTATTCCAGTTATATCACGGCGTGTCAGCTCAATGTGGGAGGAATGCCCGAAGTGATGCAGGTCTCAGACGTTTACCACTTCGGTGAAACCCACGAGCACGGGTATGGTGCTGACAAACCTAGAAACATAATCAGGGCGAACCGGGATTCGAACCCACAATCATAGGTTTCTGGCGTGCCCAAGGGACCCAACTCTGCACAGCGAATTGCGGCGCCTTAGACGACTGGGCCACTCGTGGCCCCCCTTTCTGTATGAGAACTGTACAAATAGAAGATGTACATGGTAAGGCAAGGTTCATTGGGAGGGAACTGCGAATTACATGCACCACAGTACAATTCACTCGTTACACATACATATCCCTTGAATGAGAAAATTTAAAGTACAGTAAACTACGTTTATAACCAACACGCTCACAACGAACTGAACCCGTGAAGATCCTGGGTAGAATAGGTCTTCAGCAACCCATGCTTGCCGTAAAAGGCGACATTACTTGTAAGAGTCGACTAACGGGACCGAGTGGTCAGGTTCGCTGACTTGGTTGATCCATGTCATCGGTCCAAATTGCGTGGATCGATGCTCATGATATTAAACACTGGATTGTCTGGTCCAGACTCGAATATTTACAGACTACCGCCATATAGCTGGAATATTGCTGCGAGCGGCGTTAAACAACAAACAAACCAACCAACTGATAGTGATATATATACACATGCTTATGATAAAGTAGGGTTCGTTTAATGAGAGATTCCGTATGACACGAGTTTATTTACATATAGTTATCAACTTGAGATTACCAATACGTATGTATATAGGAAGAATATTATCCTGGGTTATAGCAAATCCCTCCTTATTTGAACTACACTTGAATGTCTCTTATCAACCGGGAAAGCCCACTGTGTTGTTTGTTGTACAAAGTATTCCCAGAAATACTTCTACTGCCTGTTAGGAGTTGACGGTAAGAAGACTTGGCAATGAATCAGCTCTTAAGCCGGAACCCTGTTCTATTTCACAGAATTGAACTGTTCATTGTATGAGAAGTCAAGAGGACCATTTCTCAGAACAATTACGAATCTGGAATATTGCTGAGTGCGGAGTTAAACAACAAACAAACAAATAGACAAACACAACGAACTGACGGATATAAATAACGAACATAATTTTTGGTCCCTACCATTTGCTGTTCATACATGTATATATGCCTATAACGAACTACGTTTATATCGAACTAAAATCAGTAGTCCCTTTGAGTTCGTTATAACCGTAGTGTACTGTATATTAAGATAACATTTCACCGTGAGGGCTACATCATGTACAGCATCCGCCGAAGTAACTCTAATTACAATTTTGATTTAGAATCAATTTATATCACTATGGTTAAGATATGCCTACCGTTAACTTGGCTATTACGTAACAAATGGGTTGGCATTTATTTTCTAAACTATGAATTTAAACTTAGATGATGTACGTCCTGTAGTTGTCTTGAGGACTTTCAGGGGGCACTGGTTGCCCAGTCGTCTAAGGCGCCGCAATTCGCTGTGCAGAGTTGCGTCCCTTGGGCACGCTAGAAACCTATGATTGTGGGTCGAATCCAGGTTCGCCCCGATTATGTTTCTAGGTTTGTCAGCACCATACCCGGGCTCGTGGGTTTCCCCGAAGTGGTCAACGTCTGAGACCTCCATCACTTCGGGCTTTCCTCCCACATTTAGCTGACACGCCGTGATATAACTGGAATACTGTTAAAAGCGGCGTTAAACACAACCCACTCACTCACTTGAGAACTTTAAGTCAGGAATATGCTTCTTCGTATAAACAATGATCAACTTGATTTTGTAACTTCAATGCCAGAGAAAAAGCAGTCTTGATTACCACCGAAACAGATTCCACAGGGCGCAAAAAGAAAACCTAATGGTGAAAACGATATGAACAGTACTTTTACGAGGATTGATGTTATATGTCTTTCAATTCATTCTTGCATCTTCCTTGAGTCTCCTGTCTTAGAAAGTCCAAAGAACGTTATCAGGGTTGGATTTTCTAAAAATGTGCAAGAATTCTTTCAGATCCTGCTAATCCTTCTCACGCAGGAGTATGTACACAATTGTCTCGCTTTTCTTGGAGGTTTTAGTCTCTGATGTAAGTGACCTAAAGTCTGAATCAGTTTGCCGAGGTGGTTGCCGAGCACTCCCGAGCCGAACTCGGTTTGGACTCAGGAAGAGAATACATATATACGAGTATCATACGAGTACGCTACGAGTGTGTTACGATCCCCATAGGAGTCCAATAGGAGTCCAATAGGAGTCTATTGAGACTTGCATACGAGCACAACGATCTCGATACGAGCTGTACGAGTTTGGTACGAGTTTGGTACGACTTTGTACGAGGTGGCTACGAGCTGCTAAATAATTCGGCGGGAATTACACTCGGTCAACTCGCGGTCAATTTTGCAGACGAGTTTTGTACGAGCACCACGAGTTCGCCACGAGGGTACTACGAGTAGGACGAGTGTGTAAGGAGTTTGTTACGCGTTTTTTAGGAGTTTGCTGGAGGCCCGACTGTTTTTAGCAGTTCCAAAACTCTCGTAGATCAGTACGAGGTACCCCGAGTTACCCCGAGTTTATTACGACCTCGCTACGAGCTCCATACGAGTACCCCCATACTCGGGCCGCAACTCGGCACACTCAGTCGGCTCGGAGTCAGTATACTGTGTCTGAGTGGGGTATTCATGTTAAACTGCAGCATGGTATATATATATATATATATATATATATATATATATATATATATATATATCACACACACACACACACACACACACACAAACACACTTGCATGCACGTCGCAATAATCTTGACCGCGACGTTAAACCCCATTACATCTCACCTTGGTAAATCTAAATGAAATGGTATCGGGTTACATTCACTTTCACGAACAAGGCATGGACAAATAGAAGACGTTTACATTCCGCGTTACTCTCCTAAACAATTAGCCGTCAGTTGAGAGAACCATTCAGGTGGACGAGCCACATCTCAGATTATTTGGAACCAGCCTTATTAACAATAAATGGCCTATGGATACTAAGGTATTCAGCTGGCACCTTTTTGAAACCTTACTTTGTATAAATGTGTGCCGTAGAGGCCTTAACTCGGTCACGCTAGAAACACGGATACAGATGTGCACACTTTGCGTACGCAGTTTCCACACCGTTTATTTTTACGTTTATACCTCCACAAACGCAACAAGATGGAAGTTAATATTATTTTGGAGAGGGGTGGTAGATGTAGGAGGGTGTTATAGCGTCTATTTATTTATTTATTTATTTATTTATTTATGAAACTATGTATTTATTTACCTTTTTGTGGCAGTACTGGTTAGCTGTATATGACAATGGCTATGACCGAAGGAGCTGCGAGTTTAACCTGTTAAATGTCTTTAATGCTTGTGTGTCTGCTTGAAAACTTAATATTATACTTTTCAAATTTACAAAAATATAACAGTTTTATCAGTCGCCAGTGATTGCTGAATTGTTGTCATTGTCCCAGCTTCCTGGTTTTCATACAATTGTTGAATTATTCCTGTTGTGGTTCCAGTTTTGTTTTAGTCACAAGTTACGATAATTACCATCTTACCGTCTGGGTTAACTCGTAGCAACATTAAGTGCATTCTGGAGATATATAATTGTTCAAGATGGCCAAGTCACTGTGCGTTTCGCAAAGAAGGATCTCGATCACTTTTACTTGCAAGCCATTCGCCTCGACGCATCTCGGTCGTCCTGTAAATCTTAGCAAATACAAAAACCATAATTATGTTATGCGTCAAACCTCCCAGCAGACTCTTTGCAGACTTCTTCATCAGCACCAAGGGTTGTAGAACCAGATTGATTTTCTGTCAAGCTGGTAACGTGATCAAAATACGACTTCACGATATCTCCTTCCATTCAATGATAAATGCACAAGACCAATGACCGAACTGAATCTGTTATCAGATTTCCCACCATAGAGTCAGCAGGCCGTAAGAGATAACAACCATATTCTTCTCTACCTGTTCTATAGCAGACCACTAGCGTTCGTTCATGTCTGTTTGCCAGCAGTGTATTCACACAATAGGAAACCATCTCCCATTTTTGTCAGTTAAGACGCGCAAAGCAGAAGAGATATGACTTCTGATATTTATACTGGAACGTGTTGAGTACACATTTCATAGACATTTGATTGCTCTGTAGCAACTGTGTGTCAAGATGTCTCAAGTGTTGTATGTTCTCGTGCATTGATATTTTCTATTGACACATTATCCACGAGGCCATATCCTGCTCAGGGGAGTGAAAGATTGTTTGGATTGGACAAAAAATGCTACCGTGTATCAATACGTCTGTTTCATACTTTAGAGGACACATTTAATTTTGATTTAAACAGTGATCTTTACCCCTTGAAAACAACAATCCAAGCCAATGGAAGGATGAACATTTTGAAACACCATTGAGAAACAACAAGACCACGTCCTGTACACACTGAATGTCCGTCATTCGTGACGGTCGCGGGTTCTATAGATTTGGGACTCGAAATATGTATTGTTATGTCCAACATTAGAACTGACGGGTTCTCTATTGCCTCAATCTGATCTGATCATCAGTGTTGGTGACTTGGCCGATTGCATGACATCGTACACTGACGGCGTTGGACGTTTTTCATAATATCAACCACTGGTTTGTGAGTCTTGTGAGTGAGTGAGTCCGGCACAGATTTGTACACCCGTATCAATCTCACGTCGAGGATAAAGAGGAATGGTCTTCAAAATACTGAAAAGCATATAACATTTGCACAACCAAATGAAACACAAATGAATCTAAAACTTCAGACTTCGCTTTTTATGTCAAATTATGCAGACATACACATTTCAGAACAAATTATACCTATTTCAGCATGGCCATAAACAAAACCATACTGTAAGCTTATGCAATGCAAGTCTATAATGGAGTGGGTCCAGTTCCCTGTTCATACAACCTCATCATGTCTCTTTCCTTTTCTGCCATCTTCTTTTCATGAGAGCATAATCTGTCTTCCGCTTCATGAAATTCGAGACGTAGTATTTTGCTATCAGCCCGAAGTCTGTCTATTTCCCCTCCAGATAGTGATCTTGCTGACGGGGAGTCACCGCTAGGCCTGTGTTTGTCTCCAGACCATTCTGGCGATGTGTCATCGTCAGTGTTGGAAATGTCGGCAGCAGTCGTCAAAGAACAATCATGTGTGGCTTCCCCTCCCTAGGCATAATCTTTCTGTAAACAGTTAATAATGAAGTGTCTTCAGTGCAAAGACTGACCCGAACAGTTAAATCCTACTTCAGCGCACTGACGTCATTATCGAGATGAAAATGTAGTTTGGGAGGAAATCTGCAAAATGCTGACACACTTCCATTAGCCATACAATTCGACACAATTGTTTCCAGGGATACATCATGCAGAAGCTTTTCTTGGACAAGAACTTCCAAATGATAAGTACATTTAATGATTTTGAAGTATATTGCATGGAATATCTTAAAGTGTTCAGAGGTGATTTCCTTGCAAAAGATTAACCTAGAAATTAAAACGTATAGTACTCAATTGTGAAATCAGGGCATGGCCACACAAGATCAATAAATAATCAATACAGTGTTAGGTCAATTCAAGTTTTACAATCCAAACAAGGATCGCAATATGTTATGTCGCATGATTGGCAGGAGCAATAAGGAACAGGCCTCACAATTTGTGTCAGGGCATGTCCAGACGGTTTCACTGTCGTATGTCTTGTTCTTGTGTGGTATTACAGGAATATTGCTTAAAGCGTAAAACCTCTACTCCCTCATTCTGAAACACTGTTTTCTCGTGTTCACTTGTGAATATACGTCTTTTTTTGCCCCGTTCTAGTAAAGGAACAGTGTTTAAGCTTCCATACAAACACCTAGTCACGGTCATATATACAGGTAATGCAATAGTTCCTGGGTCAGATCCCCGTCAGGATTCCGGGATCGGGGGCACAGGCTCGGTGACTTGGTGGATAGTTGGTTGGTTGGTTGGTTGTTTAACGCCGCACAAAGCGATATTCCAGCTATATGACGGCGGTCTGTAAATAATCGAGTCTGGACCAGACAATCCAGTGATTAATATCATGAGCATCAATCCACGCATTTGGGATCGATGACATGCATCAACCAAGTCAGCGAGCCTGACCACCCGATCCCGTTAGTCGCCTTTTACGACAAGCATAATCACCTTTTACGGCAAGCATTGTTTGCTGAAGACCTATTCTACCCCAGATCTTCACGGGTCCTTGGTGGATAGTGTGTCATCGTAGACCAGTGACGTGGACCGTTGATAATAATATCAATCACTTGTTTTTCTGGTCAACCTTCCATGATTTACAGGCTGTCATCATATACTTGGACAGTACGATCCGGGGTAGAATTGATTTTCAGCAACCCATGCTTGCCGTAAAAGGCGACTATGCTTGTCGTAAGAGTCGACATCGTATCGAGTGGTCAGGCTCGCTGACTTGGTTGATGCATGTCATCGTATCCAAATTGCGTGGATTGATGCTCATGATGTCAATCACTGTTATATCTTGTCCAGACTCGATTATTTACAGACCACCGTCATATAGCTGGACTATTGCTGAGTGCGGCGTTAAACACCAAACAAACACCAAACAAGCAAACAGGAGATTCACTACTCCAGTATAACAATATCTACTCTAGTGTATAAAGATTGCCCCCTACTTGTATATATATATACTTGTCAACCAAACTCTGTATATCACTTGCTTGATAACGGTGTTAGAACCTACACCGAAACGTCGCTCTTAATTGTAATAAAGAAGTTTTTCATCCATAAATTCTTATGGACCCGTGAAGATTCCGGGGTAGAATAGGTCTTCAGCAACCCATGCTTGCCGTTAAAGGCGACTATGCTTGTCGTAAAAGGCGACTAACGGGATCGAGTGGTCAGGCTCGCTGACTTGGTTGATGCATGTCATCAATCCCAATTGCGTGGGACCCGTGAAGATCCGGGGTAGAATAAGTCTTCAGCAACCCATGCTTGCCGTTAAAGGCGACTATGCTTGTCGTAAAAGGCGACTAACGGGATCGAGTGGTCAGGCTCGCTGACTTGGTTGATGCATGTCATCGATCCCAATTGCGTGGATCGATGCTCATGATATTAATCACTGGATTGTCTGGTTCACTCGATTATTTACAGACCACCGTCATATAGCTGTAATATTGCTGAGTGCGGCGTTAAACAACAAACAAACACCAAACAAGCAAACATATTATACGTAACAGGCTTCTCTACTCCAGTATAACAATATCTACTCTTCTGCATAAACATTGCCTCCTACTTCTATATATTTACTAGTCAACCACACTCTGTATATCACTTGCTTGATAACGGTGTTAGAACCTACACCGAAACATCGCTCTTAATTGTAATAAGAAGTTGTTCATCCATAAATTCTTATCCTTACTAAGCAAACATATACCTGGAAGTTTGTCAGCACCATACCCGTGCTCGTGGGTTTCACCGAAGTGGTAAACGTCTTAGACCTGCATCACTTCGGGCTTTCCTCCCACATTAAGCTGGCACGCCGTGATATAACTGGAATAATGTTAAAAGTGGCGTTAAACCCAACTCACTCACTCACTCACTATACCTGGAATATTGCCAATTGCGGAGCTCAGCATCAACAAAAAATAAAGCGCCAAAATAACTACCTTTCCTAGTAGTTCCTGGTACTTGTCCAGCCTTTCCTTTAAGTATATCCACAGGATGTCACTGTAGTCTCCACCAGTCACCGAGTGAAGGAATGCCTCCAGCATGTGCTCCCTCCTCATCCTCAGCAGGATTCGTATGAAGAGTCCACTCTTCCTTTCATTATCTGTCTCTGTCGAGATAGATGTAAACTCGTCATCGTTGATTTCATCTCTGTGAGGAAAGTTACGAAGGATGGTGTCAGTATTAGCTCCAAGTCGTTGAATGATGTTGTCTTCATAGTCACATATGAGGTTAGCATAAACGTCGGCCTTATCGACACCATACGCCATGCCTTACTGTTTCGTTTGTCTTATTTATATATCGGTACTATTCACCGTGAAGAGTGTCTTCCAGTGGGGAAGTCGGGGTAAAATAGGTACCCAGTTGTAGGTGCCGGAGGTCGTTAGAGGGCGAAAATGGCTGGGGTGTTTAGTTGATTGCGTCACAGTAACTAGAAGGCGCAAGACGTTGTTCGTTACACCAATCACTGGTTTGTCTGGTCTAGACTCGATTATTTACAGGCCACCGCCACATAGCTGGAAGATTGCTTAGTACGACTTTATATAAAAAACAGTGTATTGTGTCTTGTTTTCATTCTGTTACTGTATCAAACACCCTTCTGTCCATGAAATTTGTAAAGCGGGTGTTTTGGGGCCTTGTTCATCGCAGCGGGCCTAGTTGGTAGACGCCTGACTTTGAAGTTTCACCTTTTGCTTCAGATTCCTCTCATGAAAAAGACACATGGAACATTATGAGCACTGCTTAGACCCTAATGATGATATGTTTGTGGTTGTTATATATTCACAAACATAGCCTATAGTACTGTGGAGAAAAGAAGGAGGCAACAAATATTTACAATAAGATTAAATAAAAAGGAATAGTGCTTCTGAAGCTCATCGTATACTACTTCATTTTAATCACAATGTACAGATATTATATAAATAACAGCCCCTTTCCTTAGTCATAAGAAATCTCTGTTAAAAACAACATAGGATTCCGACCATATCATAAGCATGTTTTTTAGGAATCACATTCAATAAGTGCTGATACAAGGTGTTCGCTACAGGATGAGCGTGTCCTGCCCCACCCGTCACAAACACATGCAAGGCAAGTTTGTTTGTTTGTTGTTTTACGCCGCAATATTCCAGCTATATGACAGCGGTCTGTAATTAATCGACCCGTGAAGATTCCGGGGTAGAATAGGTCTTCAGCAACCCATGCTTGCCGTCAAAGGCGACTATGTTTGTCGTAAAAGGCGACAACGGGATCGGGTGGTCAGGCTCGCTGACTTGGTTGATGCATGTCATCGATCCCAATTGCGTTCATCGATGCTCATGATATTAATCACTGGATTGTCTGGTCCAGACTCGATTTTGTCTTCAGCAACCAGTGCCTGACGTAGGAGGCGACTAACGGGATCGGTTGGTCAGGCTAGCTGACTTGGTTGATGCATATCATCGTATCCGAATTGCGTGGATGCTCATGATATTCGATTATTTACAGACCGCCGTCACATAGCTGGAATATTGATGAGTGCTGCGTTAAACAAGAAACAACCAAACCATAAAACGTTTTGAAAGCTTCACTAAAGCCTTGAGTATTGTAACCCTGATCAAACAACTTTTGAGCAAGAATGACCTCTTTCAAATCATCGTAGAGAAAGAGCATGTTAAATGAAGACACAAAAGGCAGAAGCTGCTGGAATATTGCTCGAGATAAAGGGAAAGTTGACGATTGGAAAGTTGAAGTCATCCCTCTTGTCATACAGTCTTGTGGAGAGTGTATTGCCATTCTATATCTTTATGCATAGGTTTCTCTGTTCTCTATTATTTCTTGTTCTGGTGGGTAAATCAGTAGAAGGGAATTGGCTATTTGACCATATCGAACGATCTCAAATCATCGATATTCCCGAAGTGATAAAAGTCTTAGCCAAATTCCCTGGTCTTGATTTTGCAGAAATTTCGAATTATATGCATAAAGGAACAGATCAGTAAGGTTTGTTTGTTTGTTTGTTATTTAACGCCGCACTCAGCAATATGCAAGCTATATGACGGCGGTCTGTAAATAATCGAGTCTGGACCAGACAGTCCAGTGATTGACATCATGAACATCAATCCACGCAATTGGGATACGATGACATGCATCAACCAAGTCAACGAGCCTGACCACCCGATCCCGTTAGTCGCCTCTTACGACAAGCATACTCGCCTTTTACGGCAAGCATGGGTTGCTGAAGACCTATTCTACCCCGGATCTTCACGGGTTAGATCAGTAAGGAGGGGAGCACAGATGGTGCTCAAGGGGATGTCTACCATTTGCCTGAATGTATTACCCCAACTTTTACAAATATGCTATCTACGAGGAAGTACTGCAGTTCACTTATTGTTTTCTCGGGACACTTCAGATAACATTTGCTCACATTTGTCCTGAACCTCTGAAGATAGAGGAACTGTATCTATAGTCAGCAAGTTTAGTGACAAATACCCAATGGATCAAAACGTTTCCATAAGTCGTCATGTAGGATAGTGACGTACAAAGTTGAAATATCAAATGTTTGCCATAAATGAACCTGGTTCTTTTCTGAGACTGCAAACATTCAAGCAAATCTTTGAGTTTTTGAGAGTCTACATGTTATTTAGTCTACTTGTCTCAAATACATTATGTAAATATAAAGAAAGTCCTTCCTTGATTGGTGGAGGAGAATGGTTAATGGTCGAGACAGGGATTTGGTGGACGATCGCTGGACCCAGCAATATAGCTCTCCGTGTACGGATTGTTATGAACGTTCAGAGTGAAGCCTAAAGTTGATTTTAGCAGATTTCTTCCCCAGTTACCATACTGTCTCTATAAGTGGCATTATTTGATAATTCACTTATACCAAGGTCTTTGATCAAACAATAAATGTAGTAATGCAGGACTAATGCTGTGCAACAAACCCCTGTCATGCGACGGCGGTCTGTAAATCAAACCAGACAATCAAGCGATGGACAAGAAATTCAAGTGACACGTTGGCACATCGACTGACTTTGTTGAAACTAAAAACGACATGGTAATTCTGAATGAGGTCTGCTGTGTACAAGTACTGCTTGTTAGTAAAACAAAACGTCTTAGAAATATGTTCGTTTTGCAACACAGTGGGGGGCAGTTTACAGTCTTGGCCCAAACATTTCTTTTGTAGCTGACATAATTGATAAATGCTACTGGGCTTATATTGAAACTTGGGGACTTTAGCCCACCAGCAGAAACACTGACCCAGTTCAAGTAAATTTAAACGCCAGAGAACAACCAGTCGCAATTATCCGCCGACCAAGATTCCACTGAGCGTAAAAGGTAAAACAGCAGTAAAAATGATATGAATGGATCACCGGATGTCAGTCATGGCACCAAGTGTTCGCGAAAATGCAAGTAAGTCCTGTCCCACTGGCAGCCCGCCATTCACACAATTCGCATAAAAAATAATAAGTGTGTGTTGCCTTACGCCTTACAAATAAAATATTGAATCACATCGATCCACCGATCATTATTTATGTTGATATTTGTTTCAAGATGATTCAAAATATAAGATTCAAAATATACCCGTGAAGATCCGGGTTAGAATAGTTCTTCAGCAACCCATGCTTGCCGTAAAAGTCGTAAGAGGTGACTAACGGGATCGGGTGGTCAGGCTCCCTGATTTGGTTGATGCATATCGTCGTATCCCAATTACGTGGACCGATGCTCACGAAGTCAATCACTGGATTGTCTGGTCCAGACTCTATTTACAGACCACCGTTATATAGCTGGAATATTGCTGAGTGTGGCGTTAACAACAAACAAAATATAAGATTTACCACCCAACCGTTCTATGCTACATATACACATAGTAACGTATCAACGTTCTGACATACTCTATTATCTATTTAATAATGTAAGAAAAGAAAATATTTACCTCAAAGATATTGAAGACCTCTCAGACAGTGAACATCAACGCAATGCCAAATACTGGGTATGCATCGGATAGTCCTCGAATACATTTCACGGTCCAACAGGCCTACAACAAAGGCAAAGGTGTCTCCAGAAAGAGGGTTACAACGTGAAGTACAACCCAGTCGGTGAGGGTGGCTCGTGTATTATCCGCGTCTTTCTTGTTGTGTGCAGCATAAACATACTGCTGTAAACCCATGTCAAGGCCTTCGTTCATAGGTCAGCACGTTTTGATGAATGGTGGTAGTATTGATCATTTTGTTAATAAGCTATTTGTATGTCAAGCTGAAGTAGTAAATACATTTATTACCTACGAGGTCAAGTATATTGGGATTCATAAAGATCATATGTGGCCATGGGAAAATATTCCTTATCAATGATTGGCTGATAATGACCCGAGCCTTGCTTTCAGAATGCACTACTCTTTTCATTCATAAAGTGTTACTACATACTGACAGCTTCACTACTTCACTATAGAGCCTACGCTGGAGCAAGATTAGATAAGGATGATTCCATAAGGTAAAGACCCGTGAAGATTCCGGGGTAGAATAGGTCTTCAGCAACCCATGCTTGCCGTGAAAGGCGACTATGCTTGTCGTAAAAGGCGACTAACGGGATCGGGTGGTCAGGCTCGCTGACTTTGTTGATGCATGTCATCGATCCCAATTGCGTGGATCGATGCTCATGATATCAATCACTGAATTTGTCTGGTCCAGACTCGATTATTTACAGACCGCCGTCATATGGCTGGAATATTGCTGAGTGCGGCGTTAAACAACAAACAAACCAAACCAAACCATAAGGTAAACAATAGTTTTACTGATGGGAAACAATATTTTTGTATCATTGTGGAATGCTTATACATGTATACAAAATAAATAACTGAAACACCAATTTAATGTGAAAATTGCAGATAAATATTGCTGTTCAATCACAATCTCACTGCGATCAGGTTGAATAACCATGTCAAAATAGACGGGAGCTTAGTTGTGAGGTATGAGAGTGTCTTTCAACCTCTCGGGACATTCAATGCATACAATGGGCTGATTACGAACCTAACTCACTTCCGGGAATGTCTGCTAGCGTAGACAGATTTTTAAGAATGGGGATATTACGTTATGTACAACGCTGAAATACCCGAAGAAGGGAGGAAAGGGGAACGTACCTCGACGTGCTGAAGCAATCAGCGATGCTGAGGTTGGTCTGTTGTGGATGTCCGGTCAGATGCGAGACTCGAAAACACCAGTCATTACTCAACACATTATGGTGGATACACACTGCACACTTTGGAAAGAGTGTACACGACTACCACACGGGTACATGAACTGGGAGGTGGGGAAGGGTGGGGGTTGGTTAGCTAATTAAGAGAAGATACATAGAACAGGAATACCTGGCGTACATGTATAACAAACGTCAAACTAATACTCGCGAAGATCTTCAGCAACCCATGCTTGCTGTAAAAGGCGACTATGCTTGTCGTAAGAGGCGACTGAAGGTATCGGGTGGTCAGGCTCGCTGACGTGGTTGATGCATGTCATCGTATCCCAATTGCGTGGATCGATGCTCATGATGTCAATCATTGGATTATCTGGTCAAGACTCGATTATTTAATACAGACCGCCGTCATATAGCTGGACTATTGCTGAGTGCGGCGTTAAACACCAAACAAACACTACTCGCACAGGTGAATATCCACGTGACGTCAGAGTCCTTCATCCTCCAGTTTGGGCTACTCTGGAAAGTCCGTAACGTGGACCTATTTGGATGTTGAAATTTTATTAAACATTTAATCCTGTTGTTGACAGCCATTCCGCGGCTCCATTTATCTTGCCACTTGCTGTAGATAAAAAAACATCAACGTCAGAGAATGGCCAGTAACGATAATCCGAAACAGATTCCGAAGACGCAGCTTAAAGTCAGCTGTGGTTCAAGCTCAAAGCAGTTGGCAAAACTCGTGCTTCCGTCATGAAACATATGGCAAAACTTCCCCAAGGTCTCGCAAATCATAGTACCCGCAAACATCATGTACAGATATTTGTCAATCGTTGGTTTGTTGGTTTGTTGTTTAACGCCGCACTCAGCAATATTCCAGCTATATGACGGCGGTCTGTAAATAATCCAGTCTGGACCAGACAATCCAGTGATAAATATGAGCATCAATCCACGCAATTGGGATCGATAACATGCATCAACAAAGTCAGAGAGCCTGACCACCCGATCCCGTTAGTCGCCTTTTACGACAAGCATAGTCGCCTTTTACGGCAAGCATGGGTTGCTGAAGACCTATTCTACCCCGGAATCTTCAGGGGTCTATTTGTCAATGCTAACGTTCCTCCCACACAGATTATGCAAATATCTGGACACAAGACCTTTCCAAGTATTGACAACTGTCAATGCCAAACGACTGACACCGTTCCATGAGTGACCTTATTTCCAGTAACCTAGATGGTTCCAATAACCCAAAGGGCGATCACTCCATGACATCTATCCAACCTTGTAGTAGCACGCAATCACTTACTACAGTAAGCACATAATCCATTTCAAAATGTGTCCACTGTCATTTCTCTGGTCCAATAAACGGACATGTCCTCAACAATGCTACATCTGTCGATGGTCCACTAATACGTTTGTCACTGACTAAATTGTTCTCCCTCGAAACAGAAGTAAGAACAAGCGTGATTTGGTTTGTTGGTTTGTTGTTTAACGCCGCACTCAGCAATATTCCAGCTATATGACGGCGCTCTGTAAATAATCGAATCTGGACCAGACAATCCAGTAATTGACATCATGAGTATCCATCCACGCAAATGGGATCGATGACGTGCATCAAACCAAGTCAGCGAGCCTGACCACCCGATCCCGTTAGTCACCTTTTACGACAAGCATAGTCACCTTGTACGGCAAGCATGGGTTGCTGAAGACCTGTTCTACCCCGGAATCTTCACGGGTCTTGTCGGCGTGAATGTAGATTCAGATCAACTGACGTACTGAATCTGCCTCAATCTAACTGTTCGTGTTATGTTCTTGATGTTGAAGACACAAAACATTTTAAAACAAGCCGAGTCTTTTTCTCTGGTGAAAACAAGTATGTTTGAAGCGTGTGATAGAACTGAGAACCGGGTGCCTGCCAACGTTCGCGAAACAAGGGCACTGTTTTTTTAATTTACAGTTGTCAACGAATCTGCTGATCAGAACATTGTACTTTTAGTAAGAGTAAAACTTTCAAACTGTTACAGGCATGATAGTTATGTGTTTTTTTACAAAACACCAAACAGGTTTGCACCATATTCTTAGCATACAGATAATGTTAGCCAATATTCTTTTGTTTTCTAGACTTACATGACCTAATCAAAGTCCTCAGCCTTTTGCGAACGTATTAGATAAATAATCACTGAGCCACTTTAGGCCTTTGATAGCGTATATTTGCTACGGTAACTAATAGAACAGCAGTGCAAAAAATTCATATTGCTAAGAGTGCTCACACTTACAGTTTTACAACTGTCTTACTCGACGGTATTTGTCTAGTTTCATCCCAACATGAAGCCCACGTATTCTGGAATAAGAACTTCAATGCAATTTCTCTTACTAGAAACATCTAAATTATCTTAGTTGACTCTCATTTTTGATGCAACGATGCAATGGTTGAAGCTCCCTTAAAATTACCTGCTTTCCTTTGCTATTTTAAGAACTGGACATTTCAGCGACCAACACAATGCTTGTAACTGATCTCACAGCTTTGGATTCTCTCTCTCTCGAGAGAGATATTTTATTTCCTCCAAAAGTTAATCCGAAGATTATACATAATTTATCAAACGTATTCACACAAACTCATATTACCTGTACATATATACAATACAAGACAGTAGCACCAGTGTTATGCCATTCACACAGTACAGAATGTTAGATCAGATGACATAACAAAGGTAAGGCTTTACTGTAAATACATAAGCAGAAAATATCAGTATAACAGATTCCCATGTAACTATATCTTCAAGACTCTTTTTTTACTATATCAATACATTGTGAGAAGTGAGTATTAGCACTAAAGAAAGATGGCAACATCATCTTCTTCATCTTGTAATTCCAACTGGACACCGGGTTTCTTGTCACAAGGGGATGCTAGTTTGTTGAGGTCATCAGATGCAGAGCTTACTTTGATTCAGGCATATCGATTGGCAAACAAATTAGCCACTGTGATCAAAATAGAAATATTGATGTGAGTTAAAGAGCCGGAAATAATGCCGCTCTGAACATAATTTAATTTATTTCACAGCGTGCCAGCTTAACGTGGGAGGAAAGTGGCGTGGGTTGCATTGTAGACACTTACCCTTTGGGGAAATCTTGAAATATTACTAATATTCCAAATATTATTAAATTTTAGCAATAACATCTACAATCTAATGAACAGCAACGACAGATGTCATCTGATTGGCTTAATGTCAAATGACTAATTCCTATAAACACGAACGGAATTAATTCAGGTATACGAGTAACAATTAACCCTGAGACATTAAGGTTTTCATTTCGTATGTCAGTGATTTGTTTGGAAATTAATCTCAATATTAATTAGACCAGCTGCCACCTGATAGCACTTGACCACACAGCGTTCCTCAAGTCTGTCCATCTTCCAAAGTCACATACTCCTGCTTATTTTACTGGCTTGTCACAACGAAACAATTTGCTCAGTTGACTCAAGTTCTTGTGTATATACTTCTATGCAATCATGTTTGTCCAATACAAATGATTTACCTATTACGCAATTCCTGCTATGTGAGACTTAGAACGTATCCATCAAAATTCTTACGTACAAAGGCCGACTGGGAGTCAGTTGGTGGTTACATGAAATACAAAGGTTACCTATTTAGTTAACCTGACACTGACCCCAAGAATGAAGAATGCAGTACCCCTTTTGATCCATTCGATATGTATGACTCAAGTACTGAACAACACGTTTAAGAATTCTAACATGAAAAACCTAGCAATGTTTTCCTGCGAGTATGGGTTTAGATCATCTGAGATCACAGACTTGGTCATATTTCGATTTTCTATTGAACATCGGCAGAACGATAGCTTACGCCTTTTAGCCACAGGCTTCATCCTGTCATAAATACAACACTTGACATATAAACATCTCTGAAATTATCCAAAACAACGATACAAAGTTTAACTGAACTTTAGAACTATCCGAATAGGAACTTTATCAAACCGCATATTTTGTATACACCGGGAAAAATATTAAGTCTCGCATATTTTCCAATTAAAATTTCCATATAATTGTTCATTTTCCGACGAAATACATCTGCTTTTGTTTCTTGTTCGAGATTTATTAAATACAGAACGGTAGGTGCTTAACCAGGTGTAAAAGAAAAGGTATGTGAACCTAAACACGACCAGCACGCCAGTCGGACAGGAACGAGGTTATAACATCATCACACACTGTCACCGTAGTGACCCAGGGGATGGGAAAACAAAATCATTACATTACAACAGCGTCTGAATCTACAAGGATGACATTGTGATGCACAACGATGTAATGCCTCAAAGTGTGACATATGTAACCAAGCACCACACATAACAACAGTCCTCCAAGCACGGCCATCCATCAACATTATTGGAGCACCAGACATCAGTCGCTGACTATCCTCCTGCCCCACGAACCCACCCCCTCCCTCGCGTGAACGCAGCTTCCTCGGTGGTGGGATCGCCGACTGATTCCGCTGCAAGCATGATGAACAACATGTCGCTCATTGATGGCACTAAGGTGGTCAAGGGGAGCGGAAAGGCAAAGTATATTGTGTGTGTGTTAGTCGCAGTGACGTGTTTGATAGTAGGTATCGTTGTGGGTAGATATGGACTTTGTGGTACCCCGGACGGAGTGTTTCTACCTGGAGTGTCGGAGACTATTAATAAAGACGGAGATGCTGATGTTGGAAAACGGTTGATGGATTCTATAAGTAACACAGAGATTGAGGACAATTTGAGGTATGTTAAATGTATTCGTTGTCGATGCCTGGAATGTTTGAACATCAGGAGAATAATGTGCATGGTTCGTTTGTCTTGTAGTCTTGGCAATATGACTTATAGTACAGATACATATATGTGTAGTTATTTCACACAATTGTTTCCCCGCCAGGCCACAGTTCGCCCCTGTTGTAAATGTTATGAGGTATCCCGTTCATTGAAAACGTTATTCCCGTTATTTCTTTCCCATTATCTCAATGCTTATTGTCTTTCCAATGATAGTTACGTGTGTATATCTATCTGACTCTATATTCTATATACATTACCGTCCTTAGGTTTCGTTTTTATTATTTTTCGAATTCTAATTCGTCTTTAATAAACATGTATGGTTAAACTGTTTTGGTCTGGTAATAAAACATTAAAGTAAAACCTTACGATTCACGAAACTTTCTGAGAAGTAGACACCATTTATTACGAGAAAACAAATGGATGATTAAACACATGAAACATATAGAGTTTATGAAATATTAAACATGGTTTGAATTGTATACATTGTATAATTCCGGATACATGTATGTATCTACTTATTTCGTTAATATACTATGATGGATGTATTTTTCATATATTTGTTAATTTAATATTTAATCATTTTTGATGTAATATACAAGTAAACTTTTGTATCCTCATTTGATTATTGTTCTAAATTCATGTAGACATATGGTCTCAGTTGAGGCTATATAATCCACAGCACTGACATAAATATGTGTAATGTATTTTGTAATCCTATGATAAGTATTAAATATCGCCTCTGTGGTAAAATATTACGAAAAGATATTGGGCAAGTGTAAAATTTCTTTGTGTTTGCTTGAGCACAACGAGTACATGGTGTACAAATGCAGCCTGTTTACAATCATATATATATATATGCGCTTTATCATGTAATACAATAGCACACACCGTTATCTTTAAGCACAGAAGCTTCATTCATCTGCATGATCCTTTATGAACTAAACCGTTTTGTGATCCTAACGTTTCATAAAACCATCCACGGAATTTTAAGTATGTTTTTTTTTCATGAAATGAAAATGATTTGAATGTAGAATGAATTAAGAATACAGGCTTTGTTGAGAGTGAGTGTGGTTTTACGCCGCTTTTAGCAATATTCCAGCAATATCACGGCGGGGGACACCAGAAATGGGCTTCACAAATTGTACCCATGTCGGGAATCGAACCCGGGTCTTCGGCGTGACGAGCGAACACTTTAACCACTAGGCTACCCGACCGCCCCCCTCAGTTGAGAAGAATGCGAAAGGACTATATTATTAATATTCTACATGTATTTCAAAGCTTTATCTAATAAGCAGTCCCCTTGTTGGAGATTTCCTGGAAATGATTTGAATGTTAAATGGAACTAGAAAACAGGCATAGTTGAGAAGAATGCTAATCGGCACACATCAATATTACCCGAACCGGAAATTGTTTAATCTCTGAACCTCTTGGGCGTACTCTACACATCCTCAGAACCAGCCTACATCTTAATTGTTTGAAGAAAACATCTTACAGGTGATGCTATTAAAACTATGTTTCATATTGAGTTAATCTCCTCTCTCCATACGCCACTGCATTAAAGAGACTGGGGCTTGAACTGGTTGCAAAGTTGAATGATGTCACAAGTTTATAATGTAGTACTTACCATTTGAAGGTAATATATCGACGTAGACATTGACGTAAATAAAAGGAGCAAAACCCTTTCCATGTTCATCAGAAATCTGGGAGCAGAGTCGATTGTCCAAATATATATTAAGCATGTGTTTATGAATCACTATCAAATACTGATGACACCAGGTGTTCGCGTAAAGTATATAAAACAACACAATTAAGAAATAAGTTGTTAGTTCATGGTAAATATAACAGGCTCTATTTTCATGTATCTGGCATATATAATTTATCCTTACTTAAACAACCTATTTGGCCTTAATGCATGAGTGTTCATGTTCGGCAGCAGGCTGTGCCGATTCTTTTACTCTATGTTATAAATATCCATCTTTTATCGTGTATATCTACGAGAGTCTGGTTTGACCTTTTGAAGTCTACTGCCCTAATTACACTAATACATATAAGCCTGACTTCCTACATGCTCGTTAATGTATTGCAATATACATGGAGAGCTCTACAGTTCAATGGAGGTGCTTGACGGCCGACATACTGGCATTTACAACAACCAAAACATGAGCGTTTGAAAATAAATGCCTTCCTATAATGTCTGATAGGTCGGTCATAAATGTTAACAGATGTGCCTTCAGTTGGGTATTTGGTGTGAACTCGACCTAAACCAGTAAAATAGGTCAACACCTTCAGCTTGCTTGTCTTTTTAAATTTTACTTTATGGATATGAATATTTCTTATAAATATGCACTGCTTTTTATGTTTGTATAACGATTAAATATATTTTAAGTTATCAGAGAAATGAAAAAGGGTATACTAGGAGCGATACAGACATTAATGTAATGAATATATTTATAAAACATATTTACAATGAATTTACATGTTGTTGGTGTGATCACTGATTTTCAGTGATCTATTCATATAATTGTCACTTCTATTTTGCCGGAGACTGTTTTTTCTCTGGCACTGACGTTTTATATATTTAATTATCATAAGTGCGAGCGCATGCATAGTTTGTGTACTTTTAAAATTATTTATAATGTATTCTAACATAGGTACATTAGTTAGAAACATGACAAGCTTCAGTAGGAAATTTGAAAATGTTATTAATACAGTAAACTACGGTTATAACGAACTCAAAGGGACCACTAATTTGAGTTCGTTATAACCGTAGTTCGTTAAAAGCAAATATACAGCATAACTACAGCAAATAGTCGGGGCAAAAAAGTAAGTTCGTTATATCCGTCAGTTCGTTATAAGCGTAGTCGTTATAAACGTAGTTTACTGTACAATTAAGACATGCGATGTGTTTGCGTTAGGTATTGCAGGAGTGCGTGAAAGTAATTTGTCCTTAGCTACACTATCTAAACTAACTATGAGAGTTTCTATCATTTCTCACACGTCCGTTTTGGTTATGCGCACACATAACAGTATTGGGAAGGACTAGTTAATAAAAGGATTCACATCAGAGAGACCAACTCTCAGAGATGATAAGGCTGGTCGTATCCTGGCCGTCTCACCTGTTGTTCGCTCCAGCCTGTGGTTTGTCTAATACATGACCTGGCTCGATAACTGAACGAAGAAGGAATAAGTAGCACTAAAGTAAAGAACTGGACTAGATCTAGGTCACTATATTTAAGTGGCATTGTTGAAGCTATATAGTATGAATGAAGAAAGTGTGGACTTATGGATTTCAACTTCGTTTTTCTTTCAATGCGACGTTTCTTTTGACTAAGAAAAGACTTTCGTATCAGGCGCCGCGATTCGCTGAGCAGAGTTGCGTCCCTTGGATACGTCAGAAACCTATGCTTGTGGGTTTCACCGAAGTGGTAAACGTCTGAGACCTGCATCACTTCGGGCTTTCCTCCCACATTAAGCTGGCACGCCGTGAGAGAGAGAGAGAGAGAGAGAGAGAGAGAGAGAGAGATTTTATTTCCTCCAAAAGTTAATCCGAAGATTATACATAATTAATCAACCGTATTCACACAAACTCATATTACCTGTACATATATACAATACAAGACAGTAGCACCAGTGTCATGTCATTCACACAGTACAAAAGGTTAGATCAGATGACATAATCAAGGTTTAAGTGTAAGTACATGAGAGAGAGAGAGAGAGACACAGAGAGAGAGAGAGAGAGAGGGGGGGGGGGGGGGGGCAGGTTGGGAAAAGAAAAGCCATCAGAAAACACTATTCTGTATCAGAATCTGTATCTGTATTCAGCCTTGGATGACAACGGTTTAAGGATCAAATGACAACGGTTTAAGGATCAAATAAAGAAGTTGTTATCCATAAATTATCTCTTCTTTATCAGTAAACACAACGCACAACAGAAATAAAAAAAAGAGGCAAATATGTGTAGACGTGCAATCATCGTAAGACTGTTGGAACGTTACAGACAGACTTGCAGAACACACTACAGGGTAGGGTCACGCAGACCAACCGTGACGACGCCACAGGGTGACCGGTACTTGCGCACTTTGCATTTGCGCACCAGGTTCGTCACACTGTCGTCGCACTGTGCTTCGACGATTCCGTCTCGCAGGAATGCGAGCCTACCGCCCCTTGCGTGGAACGGCCTTGATCCATGAATATCGACGTCGAAGACGGCAATTGCCAAGGACAGCGAAACACTGCTCTTTACTGATTCTGCGTTTTCCATAATAATGGGTTTATCGTCGCTCGGGGAAGCGATTGGCGCCAAGCAGCATTTAGGAAGTGCAGCTGTATCCCCACTAGAGTATCTGGGATAGGTATTCCTTCATCGTGGTAATTACAGGTTAACACTAGTCCCAGCAACCTGCATGTATGTTTGTCGTATGAGGCGACTTAACGGATCGGGTGATCCATCTTCCCGAGGCAAGGGAATTAACTGACTATAAAAGTCCAGTTTCCACCCTTGCTGAACTAGGCTGGTATTACTGAGTTACATTTTGGCTGGACTAACGAGTCTATGCATAGTCCAATCGAAATCGCGCAACGAAATAAATCCGGTTCGTAAACTGTCGTGCAGATTTCGGTCGATTGCAGGATTTGCCAGGCATGTGCACAGCTAACTCGCTGTTAACAGCTATTTTCCAAACCTTTTCATGTTTTTAATCAAGGTGCTCGCCTGAGTTGATGCACTTCGCGATGTAACACCCGTTTTATCACAATATAGATCTTGATTATCGATCAGATCGTCACGACTGTCGTGGCTTTTGTTTGAAACAAATGCAAGTGATGGAATCTGATTGGTCCATAGGAGAGGCTTAGAGGGGACATAACTCGTAATAACCACTCGTGGCGTTATACGTTACGACCGAGCCCAGGAATTCCAGCCTAGTTTGGCAAGGGTCATTTTCTCCTTTGTTGGAAGGAGTGGCGGTAACATAATGAGGATCGGTTGGTACAGATGTAATGGCAACTACTACCAGTACTACATTTGGCAGCTACTGGTTTGTCTGAATCAGACAAAATTGTTGCTGACAGTGGCGTAAAACAACCTTCATTCACTCATTCACTGTATTATCACAAACGTTTAAGCAATCGCATACCGCTTCATTTACAGAAAGCATAACAAGAGTAAGTATTTTTCCAATAGTGTTATTCGTCGGTGAATGGCTGCGTGTGTTTGTTGTCTAACATCGCATGCAGCAATATTCCAGCTCTATTACGGTGGCATGCAAAAATTGGGTCTGGTCCAGACAAACCAGTGATTGATATAGTGAGCAAAGATCCACGCCATCGGGATACGATTACACGCAATCAAGTAACCGAGCCTCTTAAAACCAGCATAGGTTGTTAGAGATCAATTCTCACCCGGAATCCACGATTAGTGTGGTAAACAGATTAAAGATCAATTAAACTTCTTGGTCATATGTGTGTAAAATCTGTATTTTCCGAATTTCTGCTTCTGGAACAAATTTGGATTATGACGACAATGTAAGTGAATGAAAGCTTCTAAAATAAACATGTGTACAGCTCAAGTGGGTATTCCCCTAGCAAATTATACACTGATGGGCTATCAACAAGTTAAGCAAGAATTGTGATATGTTTCATATATAATTACAACTCAATAGCCGCGCTACATACTTTACAAAGCTTGTATCTTTTTATTCTAAATTTGATCATGTGTAAGTATGGCATTACAAATTGCAAAAGCAAAATCACAAGCGTGATCTCTGTCCAGAAAATGGAACAAAATTTTTATTGTTGGCAACTGAAGTTCACTGTCTGGATCCGGAAACCGGATTTCCGGATCAAAGAACATCACGGTTTCCGGGTATCTGGGGTCGGATATTGAATGACTGAGTTGGGTTTAACGCCGCTTTAAACATTTTTCCAGTTATATCACGGCGTGTCAGCTTAATGTGGGAGGAAAGCCCGAAGTTGATGCAGGTCTCAGACGTTTACCACTTCGGTGAAACCCACGAGCACGAGTATGGTGCTGACAAACCTAGAAACATAATCGGGGCGAACCGGGATTCGAACCCACAATCATAGGCTTCTGGCGTGCCCAAGGGACGCAACTCAGCACAGCGATACGGCGCCTTAGACGACTGGGCCACCCATGCCCCCTGGGGTCGGATAACCGGGGTTCCAATGTATTTGTTTGTCCATGATTCTCACATAGAGTGTCATTCCAATGTCATTATTAAGAACACAAACCTTGCTTGCTGGTATTTTAAATAATTACACATTGTGTTGTGTCGGTCTTTGAACGGTTGCCCCGGGACCACACTTAGATCGCGATATAAAAGATCGTGTGTCGTCGTTTACGTCGGTGTAGAAACATCACCACCATTCTATTAGGCCACGTATCTAATTATTATGAAGTGTTATCATTAATGGTATAATTTGACGTGTGGAATTTGTCAATTGCTCCTATTTTGACAAAGTGGATGTCTACAGTGATAGCAGGGACGACGGATGACTTTTGAAAGTACAATTACCTCGAGCACTGTGTGAGAGCGTGAGTGACAGCGATTAATGATAGACGTAAAACATGTCACAGTGAGAGTGTAGGACAGAGAGATGGAAGGGCAATGAGAGAGAGGGGACGCACGGTGGAGGACGCGGCATCCCTCATATTATGCAGTTATATGAACAGCCTCGTTGTTTGTGTATGAATATATGTTTCTGTTTCAGCTACACTACTACTCCATGTACATAATCAAATCTTGATAAGACAAAAAAGAGGAAAGAGATAGGTCGTCATTGTCAATGATATCGAAATAAGGCATAATTCATCATCTGGCCAATTCTGTATAAAAGGTGTAAATTACTCAAGATAGGGTTTGTTTTGTTTGTTTGTTAACGCCGCACTCAGCAATATTCCAGCTATATGACGGTGGTCTGTAAATAATCGAGACCAGACAATCCAGTGATTGACAACATGAGCACGCAATTGGGATCGATGACATGCATCAACCAAGTCAGCGAGTCTGACCACCCGATTCCACCAGTAGCCTCTTACCACAAGCACAACAGTCGCCTTTTACGGCAAGCATCGGTTGCTGAAGACCTATTCTACCCCGGATCTTCACGGGTACTCAACATATGTAACGCCATGGACTTACGAAATCTGGCCAGATTGATTGTACAACTGATAAGTAATTCTTTTAAAATAAGAACATTCTGCATATATTTGCCATCTCTAAATACATTTTTTTTGTAGAAAATGTATATGTATATACTCATATACAACTATTGCTCGTTTGAAGAATATGAAAAATAACATGTGTCAGGGTGAGTCATCCGGATAGAGCGCAGGATCTCGCAATGGACAGATCCACACATGATGAACCGATTTAAGTCGAGTTTTGCGTCAAGCATTGGAACCGACACTCTGTAGGTATCCACATCTAGTCATGTCTACCTGAGTCGGGGTACTGCATGTATGGCGATGGTGACACCGTTGTAAACAAAAGCAGGGAAGGATGAGGCAAATCAATTATCTCTATCAAGATAGTGGGACTTTGTCACTTATATATACACTCATCAAAATGTCCCCGTAGGGAGTCCATAGATTCCAGATGACTCATGAGAACTGAGACCTAATAACATTAACCGTTGCTCATGATTTCAGCCACTGGTTTACCTTAACAAGGCTCAACTATGTACCCTTCTACCTGCAATTCATTCACTGTGTAGCATCGTTGTATACAGTGTACATGTACATCTAGAAAGAGTATTGCCATGGCCCTCCACGCGTTGACGGTGTGATAGCCTCATAAAACTCGTAATTTATGCTATAAAACAATACAATAGTTTAACGCAGAAATCCGCGGATTATTCGCGAATTATTCGCAACTTATCCGCGGATTATTCGCAAGAACACAACAAACTTTTGCGGTGTATTGCAAGGTTTGCCATATAGTATTCGTATTTTGCTTGAGGACCGCCTCCGTGGTCTAGTGGTAGAGCGTCCGCCCAGAGAGCGGAAGGTCCGGGGTTCGATCCCCGGCCGCGTCATACCAAAAGACGTTAAAAGATGGTACTTGTTGTTACCCTGTCTGGCGCTCGGCATTAAGGGGATAAAACAAGGACTGGTCGGCTCGGAGTCAGTTTACTGTGTTTAGGTGGGTATTCGTGTTAAATTGCGGCATGGTATCTCAGTGGGCTAGCACTATAAATCGGCATCAGTCCAGACAAGTACAAGCAGCCACACACACACACACACACGTGCATGCACGTAGCTATATAAGTGCAATAATCTTGGACGCGACGTTAAACCCAATTTCACCTCACCTCGCCTATTTTGCTTGTATTCGATTAATTAATGGAAGTATTCATGCCCTTCATTTCAGGTTCAGCGTGGCTATATAGTTGCCAACAAATACACTTCAGATAATTTGTTCATTTCCAGACTTTTGTCAAAACGGCCGCACGTAGCAGGAACCCCCGCGGATCTGGAACAGTCGCTGATATTGAAGGAATTTTGGGAAAATGCCGGCTTCGACGACGTCAAGTTGACGCCGTACAACGTCCTGTTGTCCTACCCTGACCCGAAGGTGCCTAACGTGGTGCGCTTGTTGGACGAGAGAGGGGGAGTAGTGTACGAGTCCCCGTTAAAGGAAGCAGACCTGGCCGGGGAGAGTGATCCAGATGCCCTTCCCCCATACAACGCTTACTCCCCTCCGGGAGATGTCAAGGTAGAGTCAAAACTCACAAATACTTGTAGCGTTATGATGTTCTTTCTCAACAACATGAGACATTGAATTCATCAGTTCCAAGGTAAACTGTGAACCTAACAAGTGTGGCAGTAGTTGACAACAGATAAATGTGATCAAAACTGAACAACAAAAGTTCCTGTGACATTGAATAAGAGTTAATGCAAAGTTATGTTTTTTGCCAAATCTGAAACAATTTTGGTTTGCAAGAGATAAAAGACTCCTGTAAGTGTTCAAATGGTTTAATATGCCAAACTGACTTCAGAAAATGCGTGATTTCAAGAAACCATGAACATGCCAAAATGTCAATTTACAAATCAATAGCGTGTGTGTCCACCGCTGGTTACGATGTAAGCAACACATCTTCGTCTCATGGAATGGACCAGGCGTCGCACAAAGTCCTTTGGGATATCTGTCCATATCCGCTGGAGCATGTTTCGAAGTTCCTGGAGTGTCTGTGGAACACGTGGTTGACTTCGATGGCGCCGATCAATCTCATCACACATGTGCTCGATTGGTGAGAGATCTGGGGAGCGGGCCGGCCAGGGTCAGTCGAGCAATATGAGGCCGGGCGTTGTCATGTTGAAAGGTAATGCCTGGGCCATGACGACGCAAAAATTGTAGAACAACAGGGCCGATGATCTCGTCGCGGTAGCGCAGTTCATTGAGATTTCCATCTACCACTATCAAACGGGTCCTCTGTCTTGCCGTAATCCCACCCCATACCATAACGCTGCCGCCCCCGAACCGATCTTCTTCCATGACACAATGATTGACGTAACGTTCACCTCGACGTCGGTACACTCGAATCCGTCCATCGCTGTGGTTGAGGTGAAAACGAGACTCGTCAGTGAATAGAACTTGTCCCCAGTGCATGGCCGTCCAGCGTAAACGCTGTCTGCACCACTGTAGACGTGCTTGACGGTGGTTTCCTGTCAAAATGGGACGTCAGGCGGGTCTTCTGGCGACAATCCCTGCACATCTGAGGCGACGACGTACGGGGTTTGTGAAGATATTCGTCGAAGACCAGGGACGCTTCTTGCAGTCACTGTTGCTGGCTGGAATCGATTTCGTAGGTGTGTTGTTCGAATCCAGTTGTCTTGTCGATTATTGGTTACGCGTGGTCTGCCACTCCGAGGATGGTCTCTGACTGCATTCGTCTGTTGCCAACGTAGCCATAAACACCAAATGGTGTTTCTGTGGACGTGAACTTGTCTTGCAACATCACGTTGACTCGATCCTGCTTCAAGCATACCATTTTCGGACAGGCGTAGCATTTAGTAATGTTGAATAATTGCGTAATTTTGTTGTTTTTCTGAGTGGTTGTTGTCAGCACGATGCCAAACAATGCATATTGAATCCCGTTAACGCACATGTTTTTATACCCATTCACGGGTAGTGAAATGCATGGGGCTTGCATAAAAGTCAACTTTTGCATGGAATGCATGCTTTTCTGTATCAGTTGCGTTTTTGTGACTTGATTCCATACCTGTACTTCAATATTGAAAACCAAACTTTACTTGTTTGAAAAATACACAAACATATTGGTGTCACAGAAACTTTTGTTGTTGAGTATACATATCACAGCATTAGGATGACTATGCAGCACGCCAAGGTCATACCAGCACGATACATGTCAGTGTCATTCTGACAAGTTAATTTCCTTCATTAACTCGTAATATAACAATAGTGTGTATAACAATTCATTCCATTAGTCGAAGGGGTCACATCCATTACAGAAACATCCGATGAAACATTCAATGGCTTTCCGTAGTGCCAGATATAACTACTAAATGCAGGGATGGATTTATATTGGAATATAAGCACGTGGAACACTATGTAACATGGCACTTACAAAGACAGGATCACAACGCGGTGCGTCTATTTGATTTTCGGTGGGGATGAGGGATGGTTTCAGATCAACATATTTCTTTTAATGTTTTGGAGCTCAATTATAATTTCCAACACAATAAAAGGTGCTCACTTTTTTAATAAGTGCGAAAAACGAACTGTATTTGGACTGAAAGAAAAGGACACAATACATTTTTCCTGCAATGCGAGACACAAGTATTTGTTCTAGTGAAATGGGCTTCATTATTTTTATTATTCCACTCATTGTGATTTAACATCATGCTCTGTCCAGGCGGACCTGGTGTACCTGAACTACGGCCGCGTGGAAGACTACGAGTGGCTGCAGTCTAACACCGGTATCAACGTGATGGGGAAGATTGTCATCGCCAGATACGGGAAAATATACAGAGGAAGCCTGGTACGTGTCCGTATGTTCTTAGATGACATCGGACCTCATTTACTTTCTACTCATACTCAGTCAACTAGCAAATAAAAAGGGCGGCTGTCAAAGGTCATCTGTAGCATCTTAATGGCAGCAGACTGTGTAAATAATGCTTCAATCCTCGGATATGGCGGTAGCGGTCAAAGAACACATCTCCCGTGAAACCGTGTGCGTAAATCATACGAAGCAAGTGTACTGCCAGGATTCACACCAAGGTTCCGGCGGTGGGATAGTCTGTGGTTAAATCACTCACTCGTCGCACTAAAAATCCTGGTTCTATTCTAAATTGATGAATGTTTCTTGTTGTTCTCTCTGGGGATATTTCTAAAAGCGTCCTTACATCATGCTTACTGGAGCTCTCTCTATGATCCCCAAAACTCCGAGGTGAACATAACTGTTAGCAATAACTTAACTCTGAAACACCGCTGAGATCTTTATATTTATATTGTAATGAACAGATAATTTTGGACAATGGTAAAAACATATTGTATGTAATTTGTAAAAGTAAGAATAAGTCCATTATTGAATTGGCTTGACATGATTGACGCTGATGGTTACGTCGTGCTTCACAGGTAAAGAATGCTCAAGACAGAGGAGCAGTCGGGGTCATCATATTTTCAGACCCAGCTGAATACGCTTCCGGAAACGGCGACTGCGATGTGTACCCTGACACCTGGTGGCTGCCTCCATCTGGAGCACAAAGGGGGACAATCTACGGCGGTGTTGGTGACCCGCTCACTCCTGGCTACCCGGCAATCGGTAAGTGACACTGGCAACCATTGACACTAAGATAGTGATCAACAACATGATTATATAGCTTAAAGTTACATGAACTATAAAACCATGTCCTCCCGATGGTACTCGCATCTGTACCGAAACGTCGAACTGAAAGAATTAAAAAGTTGAAATCTATAAGTAAACCCTGTCTTCACTGATAATACAGCTTCTAAAACTCTGATCTACACCCAGTCCAGTACTGTACTTTAGTGCTACTTATTCCTTTACTGTCAATAATTCTGATTCATTGTGCATTGTCTAACGATTTTTTCACTTTGAAATCTTAGACATAACTTTTCCATATATATTTGTTTACAATTTTATTTGTTTACCAGACTCTGCATATCGATACAAAGTAAACGAAACCACCATACCAATGCCAGCAATACCTGCCCACCCGATCGGATACGGAATAGCTGGGAAATTATTACGGTAGTAATTATTTACTTAAGTCTATTTAATAATTATTGAAAGCCTTTATCTATTTTTCACATGTATATACGAGGCACATCTCTGGTGCATCTGGATGGCACCCGGTGACATCATTGATTTCCAGTGATCCATTCACATAATTGTCACCGCTTTTTGCCTATTATCAGCAGATAATCGAGACTGGTTATTCACTGGTGATGGTGTTAACGTTATAGTAAACACATTGACTTCATGCCATAACATGTATCTCACTAACGCCTCACTAACTCCCATGCAGCGAGCTGGGTGGCGAGGAAGCCCCACCATCGTGGCAGGGGCGCATGAACCTCACTTACAGACTGGGGCCAAGGTTTCAGAAGCTGGGCTGGTGAGTAGCCTTCAGTGAAGTATGTGTTGTTTGTTGTTTAACACTCACCATGTTTCCATCCATATGACGACGGCCTGTAAATATGGGTTGTTTGTTGTTAAACACTCACCATGTTTCCATCTATATGACGACGGCCTGTAAATAATCGAGTTCTTCCAGACAATAGAGTGATTAATATTGTAAGCAAATTTCATGCCATTTTTGTAAACGCTGTCGAAGGGAGACCCCACTTCTGGCTTCACAAACTGGAGGTTCTAGAGTAGTTCATTATAGGTTTGTACCCTGATCTGAAATTATCTTAATGACTTATGACTTATCAGGCAACATCGTGAAAATGGCAAGACGTCTTGTCCATTTCAGTGTAAACTGTTTTTTTTGTCGAAAGAAACTCTGGTTGATAGTTGTAACATATATGCGTGATAAACTCTTACTACATCCATGTATCTGATACTGGTGTGTCCCTCCACTGTCCTGCATTGTGTACTTCAAGGAAGATGGAGATGCGTATATCCACCCGGAACGTCATGAGGACGACGTATAACGTCATTGGCATCATCAAAGGCGCCGTGGAGCCGGGTACGTCACACTCATGTTTCTACGTCCTTGTGTTGTTCATAGGTTACTGGACAGATCAGTTCTATTTCTTACTTTTCTTCACGATGCAGAGTGAGTGGGTGAGTTGGGTTTAACGCCGCTTTTAACATTATTCCTGGCGGGTCAGCTTAATGTGGGAGGAAAGCCGAAAGTGAAGCAGGTCTATAACGTTTACCACTTCGGTGAAACCCATGAGCACGGATATGGTGCTGACAAACCTAGAAACATAATTAGGGCGAACCGGGTTTCGAACCCACAATCATAGGTTTCTGGCGTGCCCAAGGGACGCAACTCTGCACAGCACATTGCGGCGCCTTAGACGACCGGGCCACCCGTGCCCCCTCACGATGCAGACAGGAAGAGCAGGGTTGAATGATGGTCAGAGAGAAATACCAAAGAACACGAAGAGGGAATTAACTATAGCTGCTCAGAGGCCGATATTTGTCCAAATCTGAAGAATTTTTTTTTTATAATACGCAAAACAAGAACCAAAACATATCTGGTCTAAAATACTGATGTTCCGTACCTTTATTAGATAAACACAGAGAACTCTCGTGAGAAACAGACCACGTGAGAGGAAAGCTGAAAAGATACTAACAAATGATTTCATTCATAGGCTCCATATTTCATTAATCCAGAAATACAATATACCGGGACGCATTGTATCTTTGTACATGTCTATAACACCCGTGAAGATCCGGGTTAAAAAAGGTCTTCAGCAACCCATGCTTGTCGAAAGAGGCGACTAACGGGGATGGGTGGTCAGGCACGCTGACTTGGTTGATGTACGCCATCGTATCCGAATTGCGTGGATGGATGCTCCTGATATCAATCACTGGATTGTCTGGTCTGGACTCGATTATTTACATATCGCTGTAATACAGCTGGAATATTGCTGAGTGCGGCTTTACCAAACAAACAAACATACATACATACAAAAACAAACAAAAAAAACCCAAACAAACATATGTCTATTTATAAACCTGGACATTATTTAAGCCTGGACGTAGTGACTTCATTTTCTCTATTATATAGGCGGTCGGGTAGACTAGTGGTTAAAGCGTTCGCTCGTCCAGCCGAAAACCCGGGTTCGATTCCCGACATGGGTACAATGTGTGAAACTCATTTCTGGTTTCCCCCGCCGTGATATTGCTAAGGAATTGCTATAAAGCGGCGTAAAACCGTACTCACTCACTCTTTATTATATACATCACACTTTTCTCTATTTTTGCTTGTACATTTAAACCAAGGGACACCAAGAGTTTGAATGAAAATGTCTTGACTGTTTTGAATATTTCAGATCGTTACGTGATGGTTGGGAACCACAGAGACGCCTGGGTGTTCGGGGCCATTGACCCGTCCAGTGGGACAGCCGTCATGATGGAAATGTCGAGGGTGGTCGCAAACCTGGTCAAGTCAGGTGAGCTAAATTATTGACTACATAATGTATATTATTGAATAATATGTTCTTCTAAACACAATGCAAGGCATTTCCTTTAACAATATAGACATTCGACTTCCGATCTGACGGGGGACACGGTTAGCCCAGTCGTATAAGACGCCACATTTCGCTGTGCAGAGTTGCGTCCCTTGGGCACGCCAGAAACCTATGGTCGTGTGTTTCTAGGTTTTTTAGCACCTTGTTCGTGCTCGTGGGTGTCACCAAAGTGTTAAACGTCAGAGACCTGCATCAAGTTGAGCTTTCCCCCTCCCCCACAGTTAGCTGAGATGCGGTGTTATAACTGGAATACTGTGCAAACAACAGATCAGAGATTATGCTGACTATTATACCGTATTACCTGTGATTACAGGTGCTTGGCGTCCTCGGCGTTCCCTGATGTTCTGCAGCTGGGGAGCTGAGGAATACTCACTTATTGGATCTACGGAATTTGTTGAAGTAGATGCTTAATTATTGATTCATAGAATAGTGGTACCTACATTGCAGTTATGTATCTACAACATCGCTGTGTCACCGTTAAACATGAATAATTATATGCATTGATGTAATAACATCCATTTTCCGTTTATTAACTGGAATATCGAAATGTATATTTCTTGTTCAAAACGAATTTAATGGAAGTGTATTCTACAAGTTGTAGAGAAATCAAGGACAATACTGTAGCTAGTGAGGAATTGCCTTTATATGTTTATTTGCACATGGTTAATTGTTGCAGTCATTGCGATTTCGTGAGTCATAGCCATGAACTAGATACAAATGTATGATCATTCGGCGCATGTTATCAAACAAACCCACAGCACCATTATACTGGTAACGTAATTTAAGGATAATCTGCACTCGGAACACGGAACTACAAATATATCTCCCTTTGAGGTTAATGGCGTGAAGCGTTATAACCACTTATGTTAATTTCGAGATTTTTCACTTCGAAAACAAATGCAGCCCTAAGTAAGAAATAATTTAGGATGCCAATCTATCCATACACAGTTTACTTTATATTTAAGGAATACAGAAAAACCCTACATGAACGAGCAGTTGCATACATCAATATCGACGTCGCTGTCCAAGGTAAGACACTTGGAAATAGAACATTTACGAACATGTTCAATACTGTACCTAGTGAAGCACCTAAATAATCACCATGACAACGTGCTACCGTATACCCACGAACAACGTATACAATGCAGAGAAACCTTGTTTAAGCAGAACCCTATTTACTTCATTGATCGATTAAGACAATGTAAATAACTGGCCATGTCAGAATCCTTGACGGTATCTGGTACTAACAACCGGATATCGCGACATATACTTTTAAGTCATCCATCCACGAATATCCTGTGTATTATTTCTCCCCTTCATTCTGATAAATACCCTGAACACATTTTAGAAGTGACATCACCAGATCTATCTCTCTTATCACTGACACTACACAGATGGTCACTCTTCTCATGAGAGCTATTTGAATGGAATGCTAGCGTCGTGTCATGCGCATTGGACTCAAAAGCTGTAGCAGCGAATGGGTCCAGGGTATTCATAAAGTTAAGTGAAGATGCGAGTTAGAACTGGACTTCAGCAATCCATGACTGTCTTAAGTAGAGGTTGATGGGTGGCATCGTATCTCAGTTACGTAGACCGACGTTCATTATGTCAGTCCCTGGTTTTCTGATCAAGACTCGATTACTTACAGACCGTCGTCATAAGGCTGGAATATTGCTGAGTGCGGCCTTAAACAACAAACAAACAAACATACAAACAAACAATATCTCACCAATACCATGCACCCAGACCATAATAGTGGAATAGTCCAAATGCTAGGTCGCCTTATATCTACCAAGAGCCATAGCGTAGTCTATTACCCCGAGGGGGGCGGTCGGGTAGCCTAGTGGTCAAAGCGTTCACTCGACACGCCGAAGACACAGGTTCGATTCCCGACATGGGTACAATGTGTGAAGCCCATTTCTGGTGTCCCCCGCCGTGATATTGCTGGAATATTGCTAAAAGCAGCGTCAAAACCAGACTCACTCACTCACTCACCATTACCCCGAGAGGGAGTATGAGAGATTCCGCCAGTGATCGCGCTAGCTCCAATGCTACCCGTGCAACTGACCGGTGTGCCTGCGTGTAGGAAACATAGCAAGCCATTGAGCTGTGCATGACAGTGTCATAAGCAAGCCATTGAGATGTGCATGCCAGGGTCAGTTCATGTTAAGATTAATATCTGACAATATGTGAAGTACATGAAATATAACATTACAGTAAACTACGGTTATAACGAACACGTTTATAACGAACTGACGGATATAACGAACTTACTTTTTGGTCCCGACTATTTGCTGTAGTTATGCTGTATATATGCTTATAACGAACTACGGTTATAACGAACTAAAATTAGTAGTCCCCTTGAGTTCGTTATAACCGTACTTTACTGTAGTTATTTCTGGATACAGCTTAACAGTCACTATAAGGTTAAGAACGCTTTCGGTCCTATTTATCCGAAACTACCTGGCTGAAAGAATACACATGAAAACTCATCCCAAAATTACAAACGTTACAAACAAGGTGGATTAATAGAGTTGTAATAATACCCAGGATAATCGAATGATAGAGGTTTCACTGAAGACAATGTAGACATTGATACTAGCAGGTAGAATGTAAAATGTAAGCACTTGTGTTGCAGCCAACTTCTCTCTGTCTACCTCTGGAGCGCCGCTGATGTATAGAGCATTATATGATGCAGCGAAGAAGGTAAGGGGCACAGCGTGCAGCGGATATCGGAACTCAGTGCATGGCAGAAACTAACTTTATTACTGTGATCTTTAAATGTTTCAAACATAGCTGGCGTTACGCATTCATTTTCCTTGGAATGTATACATCATCCTATTTTTGTCAATTTGGTTGGATTTTACAAATGTCTGATGCCTGCATTCGGGACACTCTTCAGTATTAAGCACATACGCCGTGATATAACCCAAGGTATGTAATGGGTGTAACATTTCAGTGCAATGTGTCCATATAGGCCATTGCTTGGTGTTTTTCATGAAAATAGACTTGTGACAAGAGGGATGACTTCAACTTACCAATAGTCAACGCTCCCTTCACGTCCAACAATATTCCAGCAGGTCCAGCCTTTGGTGTTTACATTTAACAACTTTTGAGATAGAATCAAGCAAGCTCTTTCTACCAAGATTTCAAAGAGCGCCATACGACTCTTGCTCAAAAGTTTTTTTATATCAAGATTTAAACATTCAAGGCCTCAGTAAAGCTTTCATTTTTTTTATGGTAGACATGTGGTGGACATTCCCAAATTTTACGCATCAATGACACAAAATTGATGTCCGATGCAATTCCCTATTTTGACTTGTAGCATATCTTCCCGTGTTTTTCAGGTGAACAGTTGACTTGCCTTTGCATGTGTTTGTGACGGGTGCCACCGGTCGGGCAGGACACATGGAATCATTACTATTTGATAGTGATTCATAAACACATGCTCATGATATAGACGGAATCTGATAATCGTCTCTGCAGAGATTTCTATTTTATATGAAAAGGGTTTTGTCGTTTTATTTATTGTACGTCTGCAAATGTAACATGTAAATGAACATGTTCCAGGTTCCTAACCCAGACATGGACGAGAGAAGTCGGGGGATTCTGACAGTGTATGACAAGTGGCTGCTGAACACCCCCTCCACTGATGACTACGGGGATCCCAATCCTTTGTAATTACTTCTGAACCAGTTCTTGAGTGTTTAGTAGAACACTAGTATTGAAAAAGTAATAATTAAAAGATTTAGCCTTTAATGCACTTTTTAAAAGTAACTGTGACGTCATTAACGTTCAACAACTAATGTCTGGCGTTGTCACATAACCGGTTTTAGTAAATTTATATTTCATCTCGCTTCCTATTTTCGTAAACGTGTATAGCTATTTCGTTGTTTGGGGTTGAAGAGACAAACTCGCTTTCTCATATCATATTTGCGAAACACTGAACACCACCAAAATATAACTTCACTTATAATATCGAATATAAACTGCCGGCCAAAAGGAAGTATACATAGGAAATTGAATTTCACCAAAACATTACAAACGTTATCAAAACGTTACATGTCTGAAAACAGACGAAAACCAGCAGAATTTAGGATCAAAACACAGCAATAGATAACCATTTCTTGTTTGTTTCATTTTAGCCACAAACAAACATAGATGTATAATTTCTTTTGCGCGGCAGTTTACATCTTACACTAATAACTGAGATACCAAATGTATCGGCTTTTTAACCAAACACATGGTAATATATGCTGTATTTCTCTCTGGCCTTCTCTTTGGGAACAAATTCGGGATACTTGTACTGAAGATTTGAAGCTAGAGAGGTCCAGGCCAGTTAGTTGACCAGTTTAAGCATAATATAAGAAGTAGTTCACAATACCAGTGAGTCTCCCATACACATATATGACGGTTATTTTCATTTGACTGAGTGGGCACGAGATAGACCAGTCAACCAAGGTGTTGCAATTCGCTATACAGAGTTGCGTCCCTTGGGCACACCAGAAACCTATGGCCGTGGCGTCGAATCCTGGTTCGCCCTAATTATTTCTAGGTTTGTCAGCACCATATCCTGCTCGTAGGTTTCACCAAAGTGGTTAACATCTAAGACCTGCATCAGTTGCGGCTTTTCCCAAACACCAAGCTGAAACGACGATTTTATTGAAATGTTTTTCAAAGCGGCGTTAAAACAACTCACTCACTGTAGTATTGACTGACGTTTTGTGTGACGTTGCAGGATCCACGGGCTGGGATCAGGCAGTGACTACGCTTCTCTCCTCCAACAAACTGGGGTAACATCTGTCGATCTGAGTCACACGTTTAATAAGGTAAGTACCATCCCACACGGAAGTTCAAATGTGAAAGCATTTACCACTAGAACCAGCATGTACATATATCATCGCCAACATTGGGCAACGACGTTACAATTGTTGGAAAAAAATATTGAAACTACAAACAAAGCATAATTTGCGATGGTTGGATGTATCATTTTCAGTGATTCGGTCATAAATTTTCACCGCTATTTTGTCGTCAACGTCCAATAGAACCTTTTTCGGTACATAATCAAGGCTGTGATTTCGTAAGAAGACTTCGTATGTTTTAAGCTACTGCTGCAAAATCAGATAGTTTTTTTTAATAAACATTACGAATTTCAATAAAAAATATGAAAAAGTCCAAAAAATTATTTATTTGTTCTTCTTTTCCCGACAGCCTGAAGCATGATTATATTTTTTTAACATTATTTGGGACAACCTTGTTTTCGATTAAATCTCCCAACACCAAACACCTGCAGCACTGACTGATATGCGCATTCGTTGTTGTCAGGATCTGATTGATTGAATCATTAAAATGTATATACGTTTTCATTCTTTTAAATAATTTGTTTTCAGACAAAATACTCAATTCCATTGTATCCCCTCTACCATTCAATCTACGAGACTTTTTATATCGTCAAGAAAATAGTGGACCCTAATTTTGAGGTAAGAAAGAAAGAACGTTTCAGGGGAGCAACATTGTATCAACCTTGCTGATTTGTAATCATCTGTTTATGATTAATAGAGATCGGATCTGTATCTTAGATATGATATTTAAGTAATAATAAAATCGTTTTGTTTCATAATTCAAATACTCCACTGAACTTTTAATTTGATTCTGCTATTTATTGAAATGAACTGCCGGGAGAAAGAAAGTATACATCCATTTTAATGGTGGCTAAGACCGAGACGTCGATGTATTTGATCCGGGTCTCACAGATGTGTTTTGGATCCAATCTCATTAAAATCAGATCTTAGTTCTCGCTGCCGCTAAACAAAGATCTGAGGACATCCCATTACGGGTCACGTCAGACCGACCTTTCGCAAACCCTGACCGACCAATTGAATTACTGACAAGAAGGCGACATTAGCCAATCAGAAGGCAGCTTTCTCGTGCTTTACGACACTAATTTCAAATTGGCGACTACGCTTCGAAACATATTTTGACAAATTCTCGATTACAAATTTGAAACCTGATTAAAAGAACATTCTCGAATGGCTAATATATGATCTAGTTTGTATAGATTCAGTCGTTAAGCCTGTTACTATCGTTCGGAATACCCCGTTTTAAAGTTTTCGAGGCTGCATGATGAGAAATCACATTCCGACTGTCACTTTCCTGATCTGGTAAGCGACGCTCTGATTGGTCGGATGAAAGGTCGTTCTGACGTGACCCAAAATGGGATGTCCTCAGATCTTTGTTTAGCGGTAGAGAGAACTAAGATCTGATTTTAATGAGATTGGTTTTGGACCTTAAGTGTTTGCATTGTTTCGGCGACTGTTATAAGCCTGGTAACGTTTGGATAACGTTTATAATTTTTGGGTTGAATTTTCAAGTGTATTACTTCTTTTGGCAGGCGGTTTAGTATAAAATGGATTGAAAGCGTTCTTAACGGTATGGTGACTGTTAAGATTTATTAATGATTGTATCCCGAAATAACTAATGTTCCGTTTCATGTACTTCACATATTGACAGATTTTAATGTTAACATGTACTGACCCTGTTATGCACAGCTCAATGTCTTGCTATGTTTCCTACACGCAGGCACACCGGTCAGTTGCACGGGTAGCATTGGAGCTAGCGCGATCACTGGCGGAATCTCTCATAATCCCTCTCGGGGTAATGGACTACGCTATGGCTCTTGGTAGATATAAGGCGACCTTGCATTTGGACTATTCCACTATTATGGACGGTGTGCTTGATATTGGTGAGATTTGTTTGTTTGATTGTTTGTTTGTTTATTTGTTGTTTAACGGCGCCCTCAGCAATATTCCAAGTATATGAGGGCGGTCTGTAAATAATCGAGTCTGGACCAGACAATTCAGTGATTGGCATCATGAGCATCGATCTACGCTATTGGCATACGATGACATGCATCTACCTAGTCAGCTCGACTGACCACCCAATACCATTCGTGATCAACTCGTGTTATTCCGGGACAAGCCGAATAGCGACTCGTGCCTCTCGCTTGGCCATTTTTGCAACTTGGTTCCGTCTAAGCGCAAATGGGCATAGCTAAAAGAATTGTCAACTCCTTGCGAAATGATTTGCGTATATTTCCCCCATACTTCATATACATTCCAGATGCCCAGAAAACGCATCGCAACTTACAGTATTGTACAGTATGATTGAACACATTTAGCTGTATTTTCGGTATATTTTTAAATGCAAGACATTTGTAAAATCAAAAACTATTCCTGGGGGATTCTTTGACCGAAGTACTTGAAGTCATAAGCGATATTTGATTGGTTAGTCGTATTTTCGGACATAACATTCATCGATAGGTTACGGAAAGGGGCGAGTGGTGACGAATGCACCCAATACCTGGAAAATGAAGTTTTCTAATAGTGAGCTCCCGTTTCCGTCGGTTATTTCGGTTATTGTGTTAAGTCCATAGAGAACACTGTCTAACACGACATTCTCCCAAATCTGCCATTAGGTCCTGGTACAAATTAATGGTATTTTTTATGAGATAATGATGTAGAGTGGTTTCTGGTATTTATTTAGATTGTTATAAATGAAAAATAAACCGTATAAAGAATAATAAGGGACTGGAAATTATTAAAGGGGACAGGGTGGGGATGAGATGTTCAAATTTATAAAAATTGCATTCGGAAACGAACTGTGACATTTTTGCTTGCAACCCCCTCCCCCACTTGCTCATTCAGTACTCACCCCCCCCCCCCCCGCCCCCCCCCCAGACCCCCACCCCCTGTACGTCGCAGTGTTATCTTTCTACGATTTAATTCTCAAGTTGTATGGTACACTATAAACAATCAGTTGAAGCACACATGGCTTCGTTTCTTGACATTATATCATTAGAAGTTCCGCTAAATAGGACATATACCTTAATAATTAACACCTTGAAATAGATCATATAACATGATATTATGTGCTTTTCTTAGTATTATATTACCTTGTGAGTTATTGGTAAATACCCCATATAATACTATCTAATAACCCGCCATTATCATTTCAGAGCAACTGAATGGAGTTATTTTGAACTTTACCATGGAAGCAAAGGCGTTTGAGCAACGAGTAAAAACTTTGAATAGAAACGAGTAAGTGTGTCGCGGTCTTATATACTACTCTTACCTCAGTTTATATGTGAGACAATGCTGATAAGTCTGTCTTTTTGAGTAGAGAATAGACCAAGCAAGACTGTGAAAGGAATACGCGTTGGAAGGATCACTTTTGTTGACACTCTTTGTAATAATTCTTCCTCCACAAAAGCGACATCCATAATAAATCGGGGCCACATCGGACCCCAGCATCTTGTCATTAACGGCGACTAAATGAGGTTCAGTTGCTCAACTTGTGAATCAGCCGGAGAAATGTTAACTACAGTAAACTACGGTTATAGCGAACTCAAAGGGACCACAAATGGTTCGTTATAACCGTAATTCGTTATAAGCATCTATACAGCAAATGACAGGGACCTAAAAACCAGTTCGTTATATCCGCCAGTTCGTTATAAGCGTGTTCGTTCTAACCGTAGTTTACTGTATATGGTTTCATGTGGTATAAATCTATCAACATTTGTGTGAAGCATACTTTCCCCTGTTACATAGCCCTATGGCAGTACGAGCTGTAAATGACCAGCTGATGATGCTGGAGAGAGCTTTCCTTGATTCAGAAGGACTACCTGACAGACCACTGAAGAAGTAAGCATGGACCACGTTGTGGTTATACACTTTCAGCAATTTCCCGATATGTTGAAGAGTCCACGGACATGTAGCTGTTGTTTTGAATTGTTCAATTAACGGTACATTTATCCACAAAAACATAAATGTTATTTGGAAGGAAGCCGACACGCAGTGAATATTAAACGATAGCAGCTTTAAACCCACTCAAAAAACACTCAATCACTTTCTCAGTGTGTCAACATTTATCGCTTCTATTTTGCAGACACATCATATTTGCTGAGAGCAGTACCAATTCCTACCACGGAAGCAGCTTTCCTGGATTGGTGGATCTTCTTTTTAAGCTTAAAACTCAACCAAATTCTCGCGAGATCTTGGAGAGAGTCAAGCGCCATTATTCAGTGATACTTTTTACCATCCAATCAGCTGCATCCACGTTACGTGACGTCACCTCTTTTATACCTAGACATTTAACATAACTTTGAAGCACACTAGTCTGTAAGGAAATGGGTGGCGAGTGAAATTTACAACAGCTGGATACAGTGAAACCTCGTTAATCCGGACAAGGTAGCTCCGAAAACCTGACCATAGAGTTTGAAATTAATTATCAATATTTTCACCATCCATGTATCAAAATGAAAAACACATTCCCATCTGGTCTTGGTAGACACGCCGTCCGGATAAGCCAGGTTCGCCTGGAAGTGTACATTGTGGTCTATTTACTAAAATTAAATGGTTTTTTTAGAAACAAAGAATTATGAAAAAAGAAAATGATAACGTCTAAATTTGAAAATAAATTATTTCGGGAGAGAATATCAATCTATTTGTTCACATGTTTTGTCCGTCCTGAAAAGTGAAATAGTCTTATAATGTTAAAGATTTGACTATTTCGAACAGGATGCAATATATTCTAAAACCGATTGCCCTGTTGTCTAAGGCGCCTCAATTCTCTGTGCAGAGGTGCGTCGTGCCAGGATACACTGATCAACGGTTTGAATCCCAGAGTTGACCTGATTATGATCATTGGTTTGTCGGTACCATTCCCGTGCTCATGGGATTAAGCAAACTGGTGAGCGTCTATGACCCTCGTCACTCTGAAATGTTCCCTTGCATAAATTGTAACAGAAATACTGTGTGCTGAGCTACGTGGAACCCATCACACTGATTCAAAACAGAAATATAAACTAGACCATATTCTTTCCCTGACAACACAAACAGGTATGGTAAGAATGGGTTATATTCAACATACCTGTTCTCTAAAAGTGTATAGCGATGTGAAACAGAAAACTAATTAACAATTTTTACAATGATCGCAAACCAACCCAGCCAAATTAGATTGAACTTGTCACCTGCATAAAAATATGTATCTTGTAACAGTGATAATAATGTCGCTAATATTGCATCAATGTTTTAAATGAATAACTCTCGATTTATTTCTAATATGTTTTAATAATTTGATATTGATTCATAATAACTTGTTCATTATAAGGTCGGAATTGTAGAATGGACTCTGCTTTTAGCAGATATTTCTTGTGATTAAAGGAAGGATTTTGTCGCTTTTATTTATACGTAAACATGACTTTTGTCTACATATTTTCTTTTATCACACTGGTCCCCTCCCGATATTAAGCTAGGCTTTCTGGCAATGCATCTGTACATGACTTGTTCTATGTACTGTATATAAGTGTAGCATTGTGTGCTACTGTCGCTCACTGTGTAGAGGAGGCTGTATAAAGGCTGTAAAGTAGTTAAGGTTGTGTATTTGTGTGTGACTGTTATTGTAGATTTTCACAGTTGAATATATGATAATTATTTAGTCAAAACAGAAATAAACTGCATTTATTGTATTTATGTCTTTAGTGTTGATATAGCCAGATTTTATATACACTTAGAGATCAGTTGAAACTGCTGATCCATTCTCCGCAGTTCGGTGTTGGACGCTTAGCTGTATCAGGATCCGCAGTAGGTTCGAATCCCAAATTTACAGAGTTAATATACACATGGTGCCAACCAATGAGCCCCGTAAGTCACATTCATAGGTGAGGTGAGGTGAAATGGGGTTAAACGTCGCGTCCAAGATTATTGCACTTATATAGCGACGTGCATGCACGTGTATGTGTTTGTGTGGCTGCTTGTACTAGTCCGGACTGATGCCGATTTATAGTGCTAGCTCACTGAGATACCATTTCGCAGTTTAACATGAATACCCAAATCAGACATGGTATAGTGACTCCGAGCCGACCAGTCCTTGTTTTAGCCCCTTAATGCTGAGCGCAAGACAGGGTAACAACAAGTACCATCTTTTAACGTCTTTTGGTATGACGCGGTCGGGGATCGAACCCCGGACCTTCCGCTCTGCGGGCGGACGCTCTACCACTAGACCACGGGGGCGGTCGTCACATTCATGAGATCTGTAATGTACATGTACATATTGGTCACTACGCGCCAGTGGTTAAGTACGCTCCTTCTGGCTTGACAGTTTCCGGAAGTCAATGCCCCTTACCATTTTGGTTTGACGAGAAGCACAGCTTTAATAGGAAACTTGATAGTTCGTCGAACTGCATACCCAAACGGGTCAAGGTGACGTGCAGAGTCACATAACCACCTTTACATGTTATGTTGTAGACACAAAACGTCCTTTGCAAATTAAATGTATTATTTTCTGTGATCGTTGTGTTACAGTTTTACAGAAATATTGATAGAAGCGGCGTTATACCAACCACTCTCACGTTTTGGTGAAGTGGTACTCTATATGGCGCATGAAAGTAGATTGTACTTTCCAAGCACAAGGATTGAAGATGATTATGTTGTATTTCTCGAAGTATTCTATTTGGTTCCAGTAGTTGATGTCCTACCCGATTTTTACAAAGCATTAACACTCGAATACAATTCTTAAGACAATAACCAATAATGGTTATCAAAATATCGAAAATACAGAAATGATATATATCAGTGCAAACAAAGGCGATCTTACCAGTCCTCAACGTCTACATATACAGTAAACTACGGTTATAACGAACTCAAAGGGATTACTATTTTTAGTTCGTTATAACCGTAGTTCGTTATAAGCATATATACAGCATAACTACAGCAAATAGTCGGGACTAAAAAGTAAGTTCGTTATATCCGTCAGTTCGTAATAAGCGTGTTCGTTATAACCGTAGTTTACTGTAATCTAGAAAGGAAACAAATGTTTACATAACAACATCAATTATACGTGGTACAGAACATTGCCTGGCCTCGGGCGCTTGAATTCGTTCACATTAACTTATAATAATTGTCAGAAGTGCATTTATTCTTAGTTTGTGAAGGGTGACGTGGGTGGGGCAGGATACGCCCACCTTTTCCCAAACACCTGGTGTCATCACTATTTGATAGTGATGCATAAACACATGCTCATGATATAGTCGGAATCGTATAATGGACTCTGCCTTCAACAGCGATTTCTTATAAATATTAATAAGGTTTTGTCGCGTTTATTTACACAGCCAGCCCTTCAGGTGCTTTGTTTCTTACCCAGTCATGGTAGACATCAGTGTCCATGTATGTTATCTGCACGACCTTCATACACAGTTAGTCAGTCCTCTTGAAAGTGTAACTTCATTGCTCGCGACCACATATTGTAAGAATGCAAATTTAATAAATGATTTTTCTTAGTAGTTTGTGAAGGGTGCCATGGGTGGGGCAGGGTACGCTCACCTTTTCGCAAATAATCACTATTTGATAGTGATTCATAAACACATTATCACGATATAGTCGTGATCGTGCAATAGAATCACAGCCTGCTTTAAGCAGAGATTCCTTATGAATGTGGAAAGTGTTTTGTCGCTTTTGTTTATTATTTTTCAAAATAGAAAGGTTAGAAATGCCGCTTCCAAACATTTATAAAACAATGAGTCTTCCAACAGGTACAACACTGATGGAACTGTTTTGGACAGACAGACAGACAGACAATAGTTTATTAACGTCTCACTCCTGTACATACATAAAACATCTTTATACAACCTGACATAGATAAAATGTACAGAACTATTCAATAGAATTATGAGAGACGAATTATCACAGAATTTATACATAAATGATTTAAAGATGATATAGTAAAAAGTTATCCATATAAAAGATGTTTTCTACGATTAAGAATTAAAAAGCAGACTTTGGCAAGTATAAAAGACACACTGGAGTCACTAAAAATAAAACAAAGTTTGTCGATATCAGGTATATCTAAAAAATTATAAGATTTAGCAATACATTCATTAAAAAGAGTTGCCCTGATATCATCATATAATGCGCAGTGAAACAAAACATGGACCTCGTCTTCTACGCTGTCATTACAGTGAAAACATTTTCTATTATTGACAGGTACACCTTCGTATCGACCGGTTTCCACTCGAATAGGAGCCACTCTACATCTAAACTTGGCTAGTGCCGATCTATAGTTTCTGGGCATCTTATTTGAAACATAGTATTCTGTCCCATATACTTGTTTGTAACATCGATACATTCTCAATTTATTAAGCCCATTTCGCCCCTCTTCCTTTCTTAACATATCACTCCAACGGGTAACATATTCATTTTTACACCATTGTTCCACCTGTGTACAAACAGAAAATTTATCAATAAACCCTGTAGCGTTTAATAGATGCCCTAAATCCATATTAGTAAACTTCTTTCTTACCCTACCATTCCAATTTTTACAACCATTTACAGCGTATCTATCAGCCCAGTTAAACACGTGTTTGTTTAACCTACTAGACATATTCTTAAGGCGACACCATTGTCTTGCTACACTTTTCCACTGTCTGACAACAGGCGGTATCCATCCCATGTCCCCATTTATAGCGACGTTAGTTGCCGAGTCCCAAATAAAATCTAATGGCTCTATGGTGTACAGCATTTATTGCTGACACATCATAATTACCCCAGATAGCCGCCCCGAAGTCAAGAACAGACCACACCATACTATCGTACAATTTGGAATAGGTTTGGAAATGCATACCGCCTATTGTCTTAACTTTGGATATCAAGGAGGGTGAACATATATCTGAAGGCTGGGCTACATTTTACGTTATGTTGACACAATAATTAATGTTATAATCCCTATTTATGTATATAACTGTAAACTATTTGTCAAACGTTTGTAGAAATATCGTCCTCTGTCACCCACACCTGTCCTGTATGTCATCCATGCACGAACCACGTGGCCGACAACACTAACTCCTGTTCTCACCCACGCGGGTTGCCACCACAGAGGCCATAAATGATCCAAAATAAATTTACTACGAACAATAGGAGTAAAAACTGGGCCACTCTGTAGAAGTTGAGGAACATACGAGCGCGTAGTTCGGAAGGTACGTAACAAGCATTTTTGATTATTATTGAAGTTTCTTCAGTTTACAAAACATTTAAAGATAATATGATCGGGACACTAGGCAGACCTGGAGAGTTGTTCAAAATTGTCTGCTTATTTTGTTTTCGTTATGTGTATCAAATAACAAATAAATCCTGTAGTTAGTGAATACCCAAGTTACCAAGCGTCTTGATTCCACACACAGCACGAATGAAGACACAGTTGACTTATGGACTTACAATATCTAGTCGGAGATTGAAAATAGGCACTAGGCAGAAGAACATAGTCCAGTATCTCGTGTGACTGCCCCGGGCAGCAATCACGGCTCTGCATCTCCTCGGCACTGACTGGATAAGTGTACGAATTCTGTCCTGCGGAATTCTGCGCCATTCTGTTTGTAACGCGTTGGCTAGTTGTGGGAGTGTCTGCGACGTGTTCTGACGTTGACGTACGCGTCGATCGAGTTCATCCCAGAGGTATTCGATTGGGTTGAGATCTGGAGGTCTCGACAACCAGAGCAAGATGTTGGCATTATGAAGGTAGTCTACCGTGAAACAGCTCCCTCTGGCGGTCAATCATTGGAAGAAGGTGAGGTTGAAAAATTTGATTCATGTATCGATTTACTGTCAAATTTCCCAGAACCACTGCCAAGTCAGATCTCGTGGTGTAGGATATGACCCCCACACCATGACACTGCCACCACTGAATTTGTCGAATTCACGTTCACAATGTGGGGCAAAATGCTCATTTCGACGACGATAAACACGTTGTCTTCCAAGAAACCACACGTCTCCAGTTTCTCAAATTCCAAGGCTGTAAGGTATGGCACCAACGCCATCGTCGCAGTCGATTGATTTGTTGCAAAACAGGGACGATAACTGGTCTTCTGGGTCGGATTTCAGCCTCGCGAAGATGGTTCCTGACAGTCTGGTCCGATATCCTCCTCAAATCAGGGATGCGTCCTGTAGTCTCCGTAGCTGTGGCATTGCGATGACGTAGGTAGATGGTCGAATGTAGCGATCCTGTGCAGGGCTGGTAACTCTTGGTTGGCCGGTTCTCGGACGGTCTGCAATGGAATTGAACTGTGTGTGTATCGGTCATAAAGGAGGCAATTGGCGTGCAACAGAAGACAGCGATTCCCCTCTTTGAATGCGTCCTATAGCGATGTTCGATCGGCAGCGCTGAGTCTCGGCATTTTCGAATTTGAAAAATGTTGACAATTAATTGACAAATTATTGGCTTATGCTTGCCTCTTTATAGCCACTACCACGAGTTACGATTGCCATAAATTACACGTGCATTTTGCTTTACTGTTTTTCTCCATGACATTTCTGAACAAGTGTGAAAACAATGCCGTTTGAGACATTGCAAATCGACAATGGCTGCGATTTGACACACCGTTTGTCGAATACCAGGCCACCAACATTTTCGAATAACATATATCCAATTTATATACCAGAATTTTTGTGTAGTCAGGTTCAATGAACTACATACTACTATTTTTGAAGAGTGTATGTGCAAACTATAGAGGAATATTTTGTTCAATTATGTTTGGCCAAATTCTGCATTATTAACATTCAAGTTTTTCTATCGCTGTTAGATTGAAACAGAGAGGGAATATCAGATTTTGTATTTGAACGAATCCTTTGCATGGGCACCGAATACTGCTTATATAACCTATTTTATTGTGAGTACAATGGGAAGAGGTGTGATGTGACATGTATGACGTAATGATTATACAATGTGTTGACATTTCCGTTCTGACATTTTAAATTCAGTATGTAATGTCTATGAACTAGGGCGATGTCCATGCTGCAATTCATCGCTCCTGATGGTGACCGCATGGTCAGACGGGATCTCAGGAGGCCTCTGTTGTTTTATGGTATTGTCACCACCGTGGTGGGCGTCTGTGTGGGGATACTTCTAGGACGCTTCGCCTTCTGTCCCGCGGAGGACCCGCCCACAAAGGTTGCAAAGAACGGAACTTTCCTTCCTGGCATACCCGACTCCATTATTAAAGATGGCGACCCTGGGATAACAGCGCGACTGATGAATGAAATTAGTAATAGAAACATTGAAGAATTCCTTAAGTAAGTAGTCCCTTACTTTTATATACTTTTGGTTCTAATAAAAGCCTAGTTTTTCAACTTTTCAATGAAGATTGAAATATTCGAAACCATTACGTATGTGTCATAAGGAATAGTTAGGACTGAGTTTAAGTAGATCTAATCTCATAAGGAATGGGTAGAATTACCCGGTTTAAGTGGAGCCTAGTAAAAGTGATTGTGGAAGAAGGTTTTTGTTGATGGACGCTTCGGATATTAATTCAGTCATATGCATATCACGGCGTGTTAGCTTGTTTCGGGAGGAAAGCCCAAAGTGATTCAGATAATAGATACTTGACATTTGTTGAAACCCAGGAACATGTTTATGCTATTAACAAACTACGACAGGCGAATTTAGGATACGAACACACACGAAGGTTAACTCAGGGTCCTCCGAATACATTCAGATGTAAAGAGCGGTACAGTTAAACCCTTTCACTCCACATCCTTTAAATGCTTTTTCTTTGCAAATACGTCTATGATACTGTGACATTGTGACACTGTGATACTGTGCTATGTCCAGGGAAATAGTTTAAAGGGGAAATGAAGGAAAACATTAAAAACTTGACATTGAAACAATACAATGACAAACTCACAATTAGCGGAACACAATCACAAGGAGGAGCGGAATGTCCAGTTCAGAATGAGGTGATCGGAGTCCAAGCACAAAACAAGCATATCCTCCAAGCGGCACATCCTGCTCGCGGTCATCCGTACACAAGTTGGTCATTTTATATACACATAGTGGACGTTACGGTGCTACCGGCTTGGCAGGATATACCGTATTCGACGTAATAAGCGCCCCGGCGATTTTTGCTAATATATTGGCTTGTGAACAATCCCATTTAGCACCCTTCCGATTGATCAATGTACACAAGACCTCTTTATTCGCGTATAATACGCACTCGTGTGTTATATGCATTCTTAATTATGGGCAATACAATTCTGAAAATATATATCTGTCGCATATAAACATTTCAGTCTGTCAGCATAAACCACGAAATTTATCTTTCAACTCTGTTTTTTCCACCAAAATAATATTCTATTTCTAATTTTGAGAGCGCCCTGAGCGCCTATTACGTCGAATACGGTACTTGCCATTTACACCCGATGTCATCACTGATTTTCACTGCTATGTTGCTTTTTAATGCCCAATGGAATCTGTTTCGGCAGATAATCGAGGCTGAATGTTCCCTGGCGTTTACGCTTTATATATCCAGGTGAAAGATGAGGTGAAATGGGGTTTAACGTCGCGTCCAAGATTATTGCACTTATATAGCGACGTGCATGTACGTGTGTGTGTTTGTGTGGCTGGTTGTACTAGTCCGGACTGATGCCGATTTATAGTGCTAGCTCACTGAGATACCATGCCGCAGTTTAACATGAATACCCCCCTCAGACACAGTATACTCCGAGCCGACCAGTCCTTGTTTTAGCCCCTTAATGCCGAGCGTCTGACAGGGTAACAACAAGTACCATCTTTTAACGTCTTTTGGTATGACGCTGTCGGGGATCGAACCCCGGACCTTCCGCTCTCCGGGCGGACGCTCTACCACTAGACCACGGAGGCGGTCTTTTATATATTCAGTTACACAAAGTTAACACGTAGTCATAAATATCATAATATTACAACAAACACATTATACATAGCATAGGCTGATTGAAGGGAGTACAGCTATATAATAGATAACAGTTGACAGGAACCCAAATACATGGTTGATAAATATTGATAATATCAAATGTTACTAGTTTCGTAAAATCAGCGTTACACACACACACATTTATGTAATATTCCTTACGTATCGCATGGCGTTTTTTTCAAATGTATGGTTATAAAGTTAACACTTTTTATGTTAACCTTTCTTAAACAATATCATTGCTGATTGTTAGATAATTGTAGATCATAGGCATTGAAGATCATATTCTGGGGCAAATATAAATTTAATGATAAGAAAATGTATCAAACCATGAAACAACTGTACTGGTAAACATTTGGTAATTTCTTTTCAACCTTGTTTGCGGCCATCTTGAAAAAAGTAACATTGATCACTCATCAAGATATATCAATCACAATCCTTGTTTTTCTTGTTTTACGCAATTTCTTGTTTTTACCACTGACTAATTTTCGTTGTGAAACGGCTGGACTGAAGGCTCGATTATACAGGCAACATTCTGTTACAAAACACTTTCAGGTTAAAGATTTCATTAAACAGCAAATGAGTAGCTGACGAAACCTTTGATCGTCTTTTCCACAGACACATAACATCGAAACCTCACGTGGCGGGGTCAGAAAACAGCCTTGACCTTGCTAAATGGACCCAGGCTAAATGGAAGGAGTGGGGTTTTGATGACGTCAAGCTAACGCCGTATGACGTTCTTCTGTCCTTCCCCGACGCCAACAATCCTAACGTGGTGCGCGTCCTTGACGACGTCGGGGGTGTTGTTTACGAGTCTCCTCTAAGGGAAGCCAACTTGACTGGTGAAGATGACCCCACTGCGCTGCCGCCGTACAATGCTTACTCCCCAGCAGGCCTCATACAGGTTGGATCAATTTATCAGGAATATCTGTAGACATGCGATCGACAAAGAAACAGGCATTTTATTCAATATAAGGCTTCAGCCAAAATAGATTCAGGGCAAATGATTTTTTTGGCAAAGTTTACATTAATTGCAACTTGGTTGTAAATATAAAGAAGTGCGTCATGTAACATTCAGGTTTTGGTCTGTTAGAGATTAATTGTGAAAATTTACGTCTCGTTAACATGCTTAAAATATACTACTGATTTAAATGGACGTCTTTTAACGTGCTTATGATACTGAGTGAATGAGTGAGTTGTGTTTAAAGCCGCCTTTAACAGTATTCCAGTCACATCACGGCGTGTCAGCTTAATGTGGGAGGGAGGCCCGAAGTAATGCAGGTCTCAGACGTTTACCACTTCGGTGAAACCCACGAGCACGGGTATGGTGCTGACAAACCTAGAAACATAATCGAGGCGAACCGGGATTCGAACCCACAATCATAGGTTTCTGGCGTGCCCAAGGGACGCAACTCTGCACAGCGAATTGCGGCGCCTAAGACGACTGGGCCTACCGTGCCCCCGTTTATGATACTGATTCATAAAAACGAGTTTATCATGAGAATGCGTTTCTGAATCAGAATCATAAACGCATTCTCATGATAAACTCGTACAATCGACTGGCAGAGATTTCTGATGAATATGGAAAGGTTTTTGACTCTTTTAGTTAGAGAATATACTACAGACAGATAGAATATGAATTGCATTTTCAACTTAGTACAATCCTTTGTATATGTGTTTACACATGCGTAGGTATTACTCCACCGTCTTATACGGACCAGCTATTTAAAAATACTTTATCTAAATAGAGATAGAATTCAAATGTTTAGAGATAATAAGCGTTTGAAAGAGTTTCAAAATGTTTACAATATATAGTAGCATTGAAATATCATTTATTGATGACTGCCATGATTGTTGCAAGGGACCAAACAATGTTTTTGTAAACACTTAAAAAATAAGATACTTACTAACTTCTTGATCGAACCAAAAACAGTAAAATCTTTACTTAAAAGGTATATTTTTCACTAGTTGCCCATATTGAACGCCCACTGTCATCTAAAAATTTATAACAGGCGACTAGTTCGTCATATACGAACAACACGCGGGTGTAGGTAAGGGTGTCATATTGACAGTCCAATACGGTTATAACGAGTCCTGCAAAAACAGTTCGGTATATCCAAAATTAGCTATTCACTGGAACTCGTTCCACAAAGCGATCTTAGATCTTACATTGTCTAAACAAAACTTATGCATTCGTTACAACCGAATTTTACCTATATTCGATTTCGTTATACACGTAGTCCTTCGTAACTGCGGGTAACATGTGAAAGTATTTAGTGCATGTTTGTTGGCTTAGAGATGGCGGTTTGTGACGATGAACTTAGCAGCCTGCAGTTATTCGTGTGTCATTCTTGAAACCAGAATAGTTTCTTCTGGTATAATAAATGTCAAACTTGTTTAACATTTGACTTTGACATGACGGTATTACGACACGGGTTATAAAGATGATTTATAACGGCCTGATGTCATTATTACTGTGCAGTTGTTGGTAAATTTAATTTGTCCGGTATAAACGCTGCCAAGGGTACAATGAAAATACTCAAATTTGACTTTGACAATACGGTATCAAAAGAGGGTGTGTGAAGAATTCGCTGACTGAACTCATTCATTCGTGAATCACAGAATTAACAGTAACATACATAAAGAAAGTAAGTTTCTCGGATATAACACCGATTATATGGGATTGTTACGATGTTTACTTGTACAATATTCAGTGAAAACATTTTCTTATACAAGAGTACACTAACACTTATTTCAGTGGTGTATGGGTAATATTCCTTTAACAACACTAGACGCTCGTACTTCAGCGCGCAATTTAGGTCATTGGACTTCATTAAATTTACAACGTGGCTGACCTGGGCTGGTGTTGACAGTTTTAACATGCATTGTTAGTGTGACTTTCCTTTCAAGTGAAAAGATGCAAAATTATGCTTTTAGGGGACTGACAAGTGTTAAATCACCCTTCAATTGATTAATCCCTCAGTCATAGCGATCAGCTATATATTTACTCAAAGTTTGCTAAGAATCAGCTTCTGAACACCAGTACTTTTCACTGATAAATCAAAATACTGTCTAGACTTCACCGAGCGTCGTAGAAAGATTTGAGATGTCCAACGTAGCCGAACATGACCGTTATGGAGCATCTTCCCGAGGCAAGTGAGTTAACTGACTTTAAAAGTCCAGTTTCCACCCTTGCCGAACTAGGCTGGTATTATGGAGATACATTTTGGCTGGACTAACGAGTCTATGCATACTCCAATCAAAATCGCGCACTGAAATCGAAATCCGGTTCGTAAAGTGTCATGCAGATTTCGGTCGACTGCAGGATTTGCAAAGCATGTGCACCGCTAACTCGTTGTGAACAGATATTTTCTAAATCTTTTCATGTTTTTAATCAAGGTGCTTACGTGATTTGATGCACTTCGCGATTTAAGACTCGTTTTATCGCAATGTAGATCTTGATTATCAATCAGATCGTCTTGACTGGGCGCCACCGTTTTGTTTGAAGCAAATGCAAGTGATACGAGAGGTTGAATCTGATTGGTCCATAGGAGAGGCATAGAAAGGACATAACTCGTACACCCACTGGTGGCGCTACGATCGAGCCCAGGAATTCCAGCCTAGTTTGGCAAGGGTGGAAACTGGACTTTTAAAGTCAGTTAACTCTCTTGCCTCGGGAAGATGTTATGGAGGGACTCAATCATGATTTGGGGTGGGGTCAGTTGAGCTGGAAGAGCCGATCTCCATGCCGTACATCGGGACACGATGACAGGTGTATGCTACAAGGATGATGTACTGCATGTGTAGGCGAGACCATATACTGGTGCAGTCGGGCCGAACTTCTTCCCCACGGACGAAAATGCACAGCTTCATCGCGCCAGGGTCGTTGATACCTACTTAGAACAGGAAACTATTGACCTCAACCCGATCGAACACACGTGGAACGAGCTGCACATCATCAACCTCTAACGACTCCCTGCCCTTCCGTACGTGGATCACATACGCGATACTGAGAGATATTGGACATTGAATTTGTTTTCTTGATTTTTTTTACGTGTCGGGTTTGGTCAAATGCTCTCATGTTGATGGGTGATTTGACTGATTATTGGTCACATGTTGTTTGTTGTCATTGTTTGGCACACGACAACGGACATTTGTTCAAAAGACATGTTTTCGGGCAACATTGTCCTTGGCTATTTCTTCACAGTTTGACGTATTACCTTTTAAAGAGGTTATCCTTAGTAAACTTTGAGTGGTATATCGTTTTTCAAATATACTTGTGTTTGTTCTCTTTTTCCAAACAGACCAGCTTGAAAAAAAAGAAAGAGACAAAACCATTGGAATAATCATAAAAATGTCAAAATGGTTCTGTGGTGTTTTTGTCATAAAACCTATTTTCTGATGTTCGTTGTGAAGGGGGATATGGTGTACGTGAACTACGGGCGGGTGGAGGATTACAACTGGCTGAAGAATCACACAAATATTAATGTCACAGGCAAGATTGTCATTGCCAAATATGGCAGGATCTTTAGAGGAAGCTTGGTAAGTATATTTTTAAAACTTTCATTCAGTACTTCAACAATTAAATCACTATTTTAGATCTTTCCTTGTTGGAACGCTAGAGTTAGTCGTCATATAGAAACTATGTCATAGAGGGGCGGTCGGGTAGCCTAGTGGTTAAAGCGTTCGCTCGTCACGCCGAAGACCCGGGTTCGATTCCCGACATGGGTACAATGTGTGAAGCCCATTTCTGGTGTCCCCCCCCCCCCCCCCGTGGTATGGCTGGAATATTGCTAAAAACGGCGTAAAATCATACTCACTCACTCATAGAGATATATTATTTCATTGTGCTTTAGCAGATCAGACATGGCGTGATGAGTGTATAGGGAAGTCTATAAATATATAACTGTTTTAGGGATGTTTTGCGAGTTTTGTAGTTCTGTAGTTTAACACTGCCAGGAACAGTATTCATGTCATGTCACCACCTGACACCTTCATGGTGGAAGAAACGTAAGCTAAATGACGGCGGCCTGTAAATAATCTGTAACAGACAATCCATTACCAGTGATCGATATTGTGAACAACATGACACGCAATCAACTATGTCACTGAATCGTACCACCAATTCCCGTGGTCGCCTCTTACGATCAGCATAAGTTGCAGGGAACCTATTCTTTTACTAGAATCCCCTAGGGGGGTAAAAGGAATTGTGTACTAGACGGATACCACTTTACTGAAACCCACGAGCAAGGATGTGGTGTTGACGGATCAAGGATCATAATCAGGGCGAATCTGGGATTTGAATCAAAGATCAACGTATCCTGACACAACTAAGGGTTGTAACTCTTCACAGCGAATTGTATGGCCTCACACAACCGACTATACCTAAAATGGTGATGAGAACGGAGTGTATTAACAAAGCCATAAGCTTGTAATGAACATTCACCTGTCACTTCTAACGTTTCACGTTTAAGTTTCATCCTGAAGGCCAGGATTCGAATCCCAACATGGGCGCAGCGCGTAACGTGATATTACTGGAATATTGTTGTGTGTGGCATAAAACCATACTCACTCACATTGTAGGTTGAAATAGCTGCCGATCACGGGGCGACTGGCGTCATCATCTATTCAGACCCCAAGGACTACACACAGAGTGACACGGGGGTGTACCCAGACAGCCTGTTCCTGCCTCCATCCGGTGCACAGAGGGGGACAATCTATGAAGACTACGGAGACCCCCTAACTCCAGGATACCCTGCTACAAGTAATTATCAAATATCCCATAGGAATACCAAACCATTTCCCAGCTAGGTAATTATTAAGCTGTAAGTGACAATGTTGTATGGCCACGAATTAATTATTCTAATTGGTTTTTGAGAAAGGTGTTGGTGAGAAAATGGTCTTATTTGTACTGCAGTATGGTGTCCAGCGTCTTCTTCTATACCAAACGAGCATTGCATTTGTCAACAGCTACTGTTAAAGTATGACAGCATCATGTGGTGATGTGTTCTAGAGTCGGCCTACAGATATTCTGAAGACTCTCCAAATGTAAAGCTTCCCAGGATTCCAGCACACCCAATAGGATATGGCATTGCTGAGAAAATCCTCGCGTACGTAATGCATATTCTATAACCATATTCATCAAATGTGGATCACATATAAACCTGCAAGAGTACAGCCATGTAATTTGAATTGTTTTTCCAAAAATTAAAAAAATTAATTCTCTAAGAATTCGTAAATGTTTCGTGGAATTGTTCACTTCATCCTTCTAAATACGTGCCTTGTCTGTAACGATTGCAAGTTAAAAGAGTATGTTGCTATTTATGGTAACCGTAAGATGATTGCCCACGGCATTCAGGTTAGAGATCAGGATAGACTGCTTCACTTAACCAAACATTTGTGTTTCGTGTACCAGTTACATCTGGTCTTAAATGCAATAATTCACAGTCTAAAAAAAGAAGCACTAAACCTGTGTTCGTGTGTTTCTCTAACGTCGTAAATGACACACCGTAATATAACTGATATTCTGTTTAATGCAGCTAAAACCAAACTCACCCATTCACTCTAACAGCAAGACATCCCAGAGAGGAGAGATGAAGCATCGATCTTTAATGCATCCAGACAATTAACAGTATTACATTTTTATGACCTGATTAGAATTCACGTTTGAGAAGAAATTATTGTAATATCTGTATTTTTCTTGTGTGGTACCTAACTTACATTCTCCACCTATATTGAACAAAATATCTGTCAGGTGATACCGTGCATGAGATGGCAGTAAATTCAGACAGCCTATGATGTTTGGTCATCAGAAAACTGTTCCACCAAACACCGGTTGCTCAAAACCTCAGGTTATTTTAACCGTGTATCGCTGTTTATCAGGGAGATGGGCGGCCAGGAGGTTCCCCCTGACTGGCGAGGAGGGATCAACATTACATACAGACTCGGGCCGGAGCTGAGGTCAACAGGATGGTATGTTGTATAAGATACTATGTAACATGTGTCACAAGAAGATTTATCGAGCTGTATTGTCTGTACACAAACTATTGACACATGTTACGAATTATCATTTCGAGGTTTTTTAAGTTAGAAGGTGAGGTGAAATGGGGTTTAACGTCGCGTCCAAGATTATTGCACTTATATAGCGACGTGCATGCACATGTGTGTGTTTGTGTGGCTGCTTGTACTTGGACTGATGCCGATTTATAGCGCTAGCTCACTGAGATACCATGCCGCAGTTTAACATGAATACCTCACTCAGACACAGTATACTGACTCCGACCCGACGAGTCTTTTTTACCCCACATGAATAGATACAGTATACTGACCAGTCCTTGTTTAGCCCCTTAATGCCGAGCGCCAGACAGGGTAACAACAAGTACCATCTTTTAACGTCTTTCGGTATGACGTGGCCGGGAATCGAACCCCGGACCTTCCGCTCTCCGGGCGGACGCTCTACCACTAGACCACGGAGGCGGTCTTTAAGTTAGAAAGACTCATGTTGATGTTCACAGCCATATATGGTAATTAAACAAATATGTAAATCGTTTTTTCTGTATCCATGTGTAATTAATTCATACATTAATCCATATATGTATACATACACTAATTAATGTAATGTTTCAGGAAAATTCAAATCAACATATCCACGACGAATGTGATAAAAACAGTTCACAATGTGATCGGCACTATCAAAGGGGCTATTGAACCAGGTAAATAACTTTAGATATACACAAAACGTGTATACAGTTTCTCAATAGCATAGAAAATTGGAAATGGAAAGCTCGAGGATGGACAATGGCCATTTTTTCCCCGCAGGATTTTCATAATTTCATAATTTATAATTTCAGATATAGTTATATAGATGAGTACTAGGCTTTGTTCGTTTCAACAAATGTATGTTTGGGACTTATGACAACTCTAAGTGCATAGGTTAGAATAAAATGTGCCCCAAGGACTTATTTTGGAGGTTTTTATGAAGAGTGTTTCTAATATTTGAACATGATTACGTTTTTCACCCAAGCTGATTTTTTTAGGAAATGAACATAAAATAATTACAAACATATGGTAAAACATGTCGAAACACCAAAGTAAAAAAGGTTATTTGTCTGCCATTGTTCATGCCTGATAATGTTTATACCTCACTTATTAAAATTCAAAGTTTTACTGATTTATTTGACGTTTCAGTTGGCATAAAGTGTTCAATGCAAATCACTATTTTGACTTGTACCATATGTTCCCGTGAACACTTCTGTTTGTGGTGGGTGGTACAATTTCGCAGGATTCACTCACCTTTTCGCGAACAACTGGTAACGCCACTGACATTGTGATTCATAAATACGTGCTTATGGTCGTACAATGGTTATGGAAATGGTTTTGTTATGTTTTTGTTTATTTAGATCGGTACGTTCTCATTGGAAATCACCGTGACGCCTGGGTATACGGGGCTACAGACCCGGGGAGTGGCACGGCCGTCATGATGGAGGTTGCACGAGTAATGGGAAACATGGCCAAGGCTGGTCAGTAGTCTTGTCTATTTATTCATTTTTCATGGTTGTGACTTTCTTGAATGACCGAAGTGTAAAAGGTCGTATTAAGAACAAACAGTTCATGAAAGTATCTGTGACGAACAATAATGTTTTGGTGAGAATACAACTAAAAACTATTCGTTCCTATAGAAGATACCGTAATCTTTAATGCTTATTTCTGACATGCTCATATTGAAAAGTCCTGTAACTATTCCATGCCAATAGTTATTTGACTGCAGTTTCAATTCCTTCATCTGCTTTTTGACATCATATGATATGACTCAATCCTTACTGCCATCTGGAAGAACATATACTAAAATTTCAACAGGTATCCATGGTAACTTAGACATTTATCAACATGAATTTAAGATTTATATGTCTAAACGTCATTTTGAAGTTTGGTACAGATGAAAGTAAAATACTAGTGCTTAAGAATGTTCTCGGTGTATGCATATATTGCAGCAGAGTTCTTGGAAGAAAATTACCATATTGACATGCTTATCTTTCTTAAATTGTATGAGTGAGTGAGTAAGTAATGTTTTACGCCGCTTCTAGCAATATTCCATCAATATCACGGCGGGGGACACCAGAAATGGGCTTCACACATTGTACCCATGTCGGGAATCGAAGCCGGGTCTTCGACGTGACGATCGAACGACATCGTATGAGTAAGGTCAACTAAATTAATTCGTAATGCCGTCAATGACTACAGGGATATGGCGGCCCCGGAGATCTGTTCTGTTCTGTAGCTGGGCAGCGGAGGAGTATGCGCTCATCGGTTCCAATGAATGGGCAGAAGTGAGTTTTTAGGCACCGACGGTAAAATATTTGATACGTTTTCAAACGTTTTAACTCTTCTTAGGTTGTTTATAGATTCACTAATGATTTTTTCAACCACATACCTACAACAATGGTTATTAAAATTACAGTAATATCAGTATCGTTTAGACACCCTATTTATTACAAATTGCCCTATTGATTTGCCTTGCCTTTGCATGTGTTTGTGGCGGAAGCCATCGGTGCGGCAGCATACCACCTGGATAATCACTATTTGATAGTAATTCATAATTTTTGTTAGTCCGTACTTTGAACAAATAAATAAACATGTGAATCATGCCTGGTTCTTCTTTCAACATTATCCTCAATAAAGTAACTGAGATGTACATGTCATTCACCCAAAGTTCAATTCATAAATAAAAGCCACAAAACCCTCATCATATTCAAAAGTCGATTATACGACCCCCACCATATCATGAGCATACGTTTATAAATAGGTGTTCCCAGGTATCACAATGTTTATACACAAAGAATACTTCCCCGAGTTGATGCAATACAGTTGTCAGCAATAGACTGACATGTATCTATGTTAGGTTTACATAATGTAGTATGAAAACACGACAAACGTCTTTGCATTCCAATATGTGGTCGCGAGCAATGAAGTTACACTTTGAAGAAGACTGACTTACTGTGTATGCAGGTTGTGCAGATAACGTACATGGACACTAGTGTCTACCATGGCTGGGTAAGAAACATGACACCTGAACGGCTGGCTGAGGAAATAAAAGCGTCAAAACCCTATCTATATTCATAAGAAATCGTGGTTGAAGGCAGAGTCCATTATACGATTCTGACTGTATCACGTTTATACATCCCTATCAAAGAAACCTGTTGTTCGCGAAAAGGTGAGTTTATCCTGCCCCACCGGTGGCACTTGTCACTAACACATGCAAAGGAAAGTCGTTTGTCAATCGGAAAAAAACACGGAAGCATATTGTACAAGTCAAAATAGGGAACTGCATGGGGCATAATTTTTGTCAGTGAAGCGTCAAATTTGGAAATGCCCTCCACATTTCAACCATAAAACTTTTTGAAATCTTTCCTGAGGCCTTGAATACTTGCTTATGATAAAGTTGGCTTCATACCATGGGCCCTGCTTTTCGCAGTTATTTTATACGATTAAGTAATGGGATTTGTCGCTTTTACTTATGTAGATGTAAAATAATATGAAGAAAGCAAGTAACTACATACTATTTATATGTCTACCTAATCCACGTACACTATCACGCTTAAAGCCATGATGCTAAGGGCACCAGGGCCCGGGATCATGAAACTAACTTAAGACCATATTTTGTCTTAACTCTTAAGATTTAGACTTAAGACAAAATTCGTGCTTAGCAAAATTTGAGCTAAGACCACTTTCATGATCCCGGGGCCTGATATCGTTTTATTTGTTGAAACGGTGTATGATTATTTTGCAATATTTACACTCTCATTTAGAAAGATGCATTGTCAATCAAGACCAAAACCTTTATTTAAATAAGTACACATTTGGGAAGACCGCATTTTTCGGATTATCTTAGTTGCGTTATGACGCCAGACCAAACCAATTCAAAACGTCAAAGACAGAAGTACAACCAGACCCGATTATCTAACGAAACATATTGCATTGGGTGTACAATGCAGAATAGTGATATAGATTATATGAATGGATCATTGATAATCAGTGATGACACCAGATTTCACGAAAAGAAATATGACCTGCTCATGGCACTCGCAAAAAGTCAAGTCATACCTTATCAAGATACATTTGTTTATCATTTTCAGGAATATCGCAAAGTTTTGAGGGAAAGGGCTGTGGCGTATATCAACCTCGACACGGTTGTTACAGGTAGGTATTACCTCATTCATCATTCTGTACATTCTGACACTACTTTAACTTAACTGTTTCCTCGAACATGCTTGGCAACATCTTAATATTACCAGGTTTGAAAGTATAACCAGTGGTCACTTTTTATCCCTATGCAGAAGAAAAAGTGTAGATGCCATTCGACGTTAAAGTAAATGGATTGTCAATTCGTGGTTTCACACAGTTATATTGGTTTCTTTCTTTAATATGTACTCTGCAAAAAGAAAAGAAACGCAAGAGTGATTTTGATGTATATTTTATATATCAAATAAACAACCAACAGATGGTGATCGATTGTTCAAAATTGGCGTACATCATTGTCATTGACCAAAATTACATATGGCACACATGGAATTCGTGTAACGTTGTGGGCCGTTAACTTTCCCAGAACTTGCACCATGTCTGTCCTGCCAGTGTAGGAAATGGCTGCCCACATCATCACACTACCACCACCAAACCTGTCCACTTCCTGTATGCACAACGTTCCCCGGGACGCCTGTAATCACGACGTCTACCCTCCGCAAAGCGAAGCATGAAACGTGACTTATCACTAAACCAAACTTGTCTCCCTAGCAGCTGTGGTCATACTCTGTGACATTGACACCATTGACGACGCAGCCGACGATGCAGGTACTTCAATTGACACTTCGAACCGGTCGTCAAGCGCGAATACATCCAGCGTGTAAACGGTTCCTCACTGTCTGGACTGATATCCTGTGCAATCATGGTATTGCCGTAGCTGTAGGGGTGGTCGTGGTGGTTCTTTCACGAAAATGACGTTGTCGTATTAATCTGTCCTTTACTCTTGTAGAGATACGTGGTCTACCGGATCTGGGACGGTCACGCGATGTCCCGTGTGTGTGATAACGGTTCCACAGTCTTGTAATTGTGCTTGGAGATACGTGGAAAAACCTGGCTACACCTGTTTGCAGTCGATCGGTGGCGTTGTTGCGATGGACTTCCGTCAGTGGTGGCATGTTTTCGCTGTTCAGTTGCTGTAAGGTTGTGATGGCATGCAAATGAAACCCAACGCTTTTATAGCCCAACAAGTGGTGTTGCACGTGCATGTCATGTTGGTTTGTTTCGGCGCCAGGCTCTGACGTGTTTTTTTTATTTTTTATTTTTCTCTCTTTTAACTAAATTTCTTCTGTAGCTCAATCATTACGCGCAAATCAATCCCAGCCCATGCAAAAATGACCAATTCATTTTTGGTATTAATTTTGTATGGATGTCGGCAACATCCTGTCAGATGATTTACGATTTTACTACTTATGCGTTTCTTCTTTAAATTTGCAGAGTATATATGGACCTTCCTTTTGAAGCGGATTTAATATCACACTCATATTTATTACTCATATATCTGCGTTAACTAACATTGTTTGGACAAGATCGGTATGTAAAGGCATCTGTCTGACCAAATGCGTGGATCGATGCTCATGACATTAATCACTGGATTGTCTGGTCCAGACTCGATTTTTTACAGACCGCCGTCATATAGCTGGGATATAAGTGAGTGCGGCGTTAAACAAGAAACCAACCAACCAACAATCTGATCAAATGACAGTTCAACGTTAGGATATATGTTCGTCCAAGTATACACTTATCTTCCACGTGGTCTGTGTACAATCTGCATGTTTCAGGAAACTATTCTCTCCGTGCTGGTGCCACTCCGCTGATGTACCGCGCTGTATATGAAGCTGCCAAGAAGGTTTGACGTCTACCATATGATAGTGATGTTATTCAGTGCAGAGACCGCCTCCGTGGTCTGGTGGTAGAGCGTCTGCCCGGAGAACGGAAGGTCCGGGGTTCGATCCCCGACCGCGTCATACCAAAAGACGTTAAAAGATGGTACTTGTTGTTACCCTGTCTGGCGGTCGACATTAAGGGGCTAAAACAAGGACTGGTCGGCTCGGAGTCAGTATACTGTGTCTGAGTGGGGTATTCATGTTAAACTGCGGCATGGTATCTCAGTGAGCTAGCACTATAAATCAGCATCAGTCCGGACTAGTACAAGCAGCCACACAAATACACACATGTGCATGCACGTCACTATATAAGTGCAATAATCTTGGACGCGACGTTAAACCCCATTTCACCTCACCTCACCTATCCAGTATAGAAGTCGAAGGCCCACAATACAGTTATTTTAATGATTCGTTAAAGGCATGATGTTTTCAAATATTCTTTATGAGTGTTTTATCATATTGGGGATAGTATTATCGATGCAATGAATTTCCGATATATATTCAAATAAGGTCACCTTGGGGGAACTACTTTTAATAACCTGCACGCCTTGATGGAATGTCTGCTTATTTAATAAACGTTTGCCTTACGTTTGGATATACGTTTGGATAAGTGTTACTCGATGTGTGGGTGTTTCTGTACATAACTCATTTGGCGCTATATCATAAATGGGGCAATTCACCCGAGCATTCAGTTTTTACTCCTGCATACAGGACGTTACTTCAGTGATAGAAAATAGACTTTAACATCGATTATTCCGAGGAGGACATTATGTTATAAAGAGATTATTGCCGCGTGCATGTCGTCTGATATACATTGTATGATATTTATTGGCTTTTCAAAAACATTGAGTTACTTTTGCAAATGCAAACGGGAATCGGTCATATAAGATTATGACCAGTGAACATTGAAATAGTTATACAATTAATAATTATATTCTCAAGAGTTGGAGACACACAAATGCATATACCGCTGATCTCCTTCATGGCTGACAAATCTCCCCAATCGACCACTGAAACCTACTTTTTAATGCTTTCTACCAACAGATCATGTTTGATAGTCAGCCTTGTGAATTTTACAGCCTCTACAATTTCCTTATGTTTGCAATTCTGAACCGGAGTCAATATTTATACATACATATATTCCAATAAAGTTGCTCCATTGTGTTTTGGAGACTTTGGGTTGATAAGCTTAGCCCGGATAAGCTTAGTATCCGTCAGTAATCTATGGCGTCTCTGTGCCCGTGTGGTATTTGGTAAATAAGATGTTGCTGTTTGGTGCCCAGGTACCTAATCCGAACCATACAGACACCGATCACCCAACGCTGTATGATAACTGGCTGCTGAAGATGGAATGGGCGGATGAGGACGGGAACAATCTGAACATTCCCAGGTATCACAATGTTTATACACTATGAATGCTTCCCCGAGTTGATGCAGTACAGTTGTCATCAGTGCACTGACACGTATCTCTGTGATTGTTAGGTTTACATTACGTAGTTTCCTTTGCATTCCTACAATATGTGGTCGCGATCAATGAAGTTACAATTTGAAGTGGACTGTGTATGTGTATGCAGGTCGTGCAGATAACATACATGGACACTAGTGTCTACCATGACTGGGGAAGAAACAAAGCACCTGAATGACTGGCTGAGGAAATAAACGCGACAAAACTCTTTCTATAGCCATCAGAAATTCCTGTCGATTGTGCAATTCTGTCAATGACTATATCATAAGTGAGTGAGTGAGTATGGTTTTACGCCGCTTTTAGCAATATTCAAGCAATATTACTGCGGGGGACATCAGAAATGGGCTTCACACATTGTACCCATGTCGGGAATCGAACCCGGGTCTTCGGCGTGACGAGCGAACGCTTTAACCACGAGGCTGCTCCAACTATATCATGAGCTTGTGTTTATTAATCACTTTGAAATAGTGATAATACCAGGTGAGCATGACTTGCCCTTATGTTGCTGTTGGCTTGGCGATACGAACGAAATAGTCAAACCCAGAGTAACCAATAAATCCCCCCCCCCCCCCCCCCCCCCCCCCTCAAACTTACACTGGATGACTTCAACCTGATTATCATTACCCACTCTCACATTTATGAATCAGAATTTTTTCCATCCATCATGTGCGCTCAGTCATCAGTATTCCTACTGGTAAGCGAGGAAAGGTTAAGCTGTTATCTGACAATTAATCCCGTATGACTATGTATGAGGTCCTTCCACTGGCGCTTGCCGTTGTGAAGAAAGGGATAACGGGTGGTCCGCGAAAAGCAGGACGATGGATATGTGCTTGTCCTGTCTCGGCGAACAACGAGTTCTAGTGGCGACCGACATCTTAATAGTCGTGTGTTCCCTGGAGCGTAGTCAATTGCACCGCCATGACCTGCACGTGCTGAACATGCGTACACCCTCTCTACCTGTGACAAACCAAATATGTTTGCCCATATTATGTGCATCGCCTACTTCTCTCAAACCCGTTTTGTGAGTTGGTTCAACTTATCCTGGATTACCTTTAGCACACATAATGTTTTCAAAATATATTCCCATCTTTCTTCAACGTGCCTCCCACTGCACTTAGTGTAGCTTCACGTTAACACCTGGTGGCATCACTGACTTTCACTGGTCCATTTATATAATTTCACAAATATTGTGCTCTTGACACCAAATAGAATCTGTTTCGGTAGATGCTCCAGACTGATTATTATTTGCATTGACAATGTATATTCAAAGTGATGGACGCGGCGAATAGCTGCAAAATTGCTTATGCGCTCGTAACAATGTAATACTCACTTACTTTCTCACTCACACATGGTTCTTTTGGAAAGCAATGTAGAGAACGAATATTGACTTTGTGATGGACGTCCGTACTTGTTTTCAGGATTGGTTCCTTGGGATCTGGAAGTGATTATGCAACCTTGGTTCAACTCACTGGGATTGCATCCGTGGATTTGGGCTACAAAATGGATAATGTATGCTTATCAAAGTCATATCATATACTTGGTTATAATATCGCTTATGATGTTCATTTATGCCTGATCAATGATAAGGGATTATTATTCCGAAGATGGTTATGCTTACGTTTCAATGACTTTACAGTTTATGGTTTTACTCTTCCAGTCTAAGGGTCGGGTTAAGTTCTTCGCCTTGTACCACACCATATACGAAACATTCTACGCAGTAAAACATTTCATCGATCCCAACTTTGAGGTGAGAAAAACATTTCGAAATTTCATTCAATTGTTTTGCCAAAGAAAAATGTTCTCTTGTTTCTTTTGTTTGGGTAGATACCGACATGGATACCCCAAAGAAATTACTATTTTAATCGATTATGTTATATATAATATATAAGATTAGATATGTCTATCACAAACATATATGAATCTATTTCACCTCCTTCTGAAGATGTAATGTCATCTCTATCAAAGGTGTCACCTTTGTAGGGATTGGGCAAAGGTGTCACCTCGTGTCGGGATTGGGCAAAGGTGTCACCTCGTGTAGGGATTGGGCAAAGGTGTCACCTCGTGTCGGGATTGGGCAAAGGTGTCTGCTTGTTCTCAATGTCACCAAAGATGGACTTGCATCTTTCCTGCCCATGTTGTGTGTCTCCAAACCCACAACACACGATCAAAATCTTACTGCGATACTGATTATCCCTCGAGATCTGAGTCTTTGATCAGTATGTAAAAGAGGCAGCCATTGATAACATGCATCTTCTTCTGAAAACATGAGGAACCATTAATGTATGTCTGAGACATATATCTTGAAATTACCAGAGAAGGAACAATTCGATCTAAGTTCTTGTTTTCATTTCATTTCGGGATTACAATATGTTGAAACATGATGCGATATCGACAATTTTCGGGACTGCGTTTCCAATGACAGAATGTGTAATAATTTCTTGATAACTTGTTAATACTAGCTGGAATCAAGTGATATAGTGTGTGTTCACTGTATCAAGAGACATTAGATATTCCATCTCTCCTCAGTGTCACCGCGCTATCTCCCGGTTGTCTGCGGAGCTTATACGTTCTCTTGCCGACTCCCTCATCATCCCTTTCAACGTCAGCGACTACAGCTGGGCCCTCAACAAATACTGGCGAACACTGGACACAGAACATGGGGCCAAACTCAGGGACAATTTAGATAACTATGGTAGAGATCTTATTGATTCTACGGTACCCCGGGTTACGTGTATCCTGAAGAGTCTCCAAGTCTATATGAAAATACCAATGAACCTATTTGGTGCATCAAATCTTGATTTGTTTGCGTAATGAAATATTTAAATGTGTACTTATGTAACTAATATCGTCTTCACAAAATTATCCGGTGAATGGAATTTCAAATCCAGTGTTAATTATGATTTAACTTATGACACCTTCTTTTTCCCTCGGGGGGCACGGGTGGCCCAGTCGTCTAAGGCGCCGCGATTCGCTGTGCAGAGTTGCGTCCCTTGGGCACGCCAGAAACCTATGATTGTGGGTTCGAATCCGGTTCGCCCCAATTATGTTTCTAGGTTTGTCAGCACCATACCCGTGCTCGTGGGTTTCACCGAAGTGGTTAACGTCTGAGACCTGCATCACTTCGGGCTTTCCTCTCACATTAAGCTGACACGCCGTGATATAGCTGGAATAATGTTAAAAGCGGCGTTAAACCGAACTCACTCACACACTCTTTTTTCCTCGTTACTTTCCCTGTACTCATAATATATAGTCATTGTCTGTTGTTAGATGAACTTAAGGACGCCATATCAAACTTCACGAGGGAATCTCAAAGGTTCAAAGAAAGACTATCGTCACTGAACAAGTTTGAGTAAGTAGTTCTGTTAACGTTCTTAATCCATCAGAACATCTCATGGCGTGTGAGTCAGTGAGTTTTGGTTTTACGCCGCTTTTAGCAATATTCCAGCAATATCACGGCGGGGGACACCAGAAATGGGCTTCACACATTGTACCCATGTCGGGATTCGAACCCGGGTCTTCGGCGTGACGAGCGAACGCTTTAACCACTAGGCTACCCGACCGCCCACATCTCATGGACGACGTCACTTAAAGGCTATGCAACCAAGTAATGGAACAAACAATGCATTTTGAGGGAATTTATGCTTGCAAAGATATAGGAATCAGTCACACATGCAGGTAAGTGGTTGACCCATGTTAATAAAAACTCGCCCTGAAAGTTTCGAGACATTTCATCAGCCAGTAATTAAATGTCTCTGTATGGAATTCGTGACGGTAAGGGTGAGATATTGGCAGTTCTACTGACTATACTTGCAGTCCCCTGGCCACTCGTGCTGTGAATGACCAGCTGCTTCTGCTAGAGAAGGCGTTTCTGGACGATGAGGGATTGCCGGGCCGACCCACGAGGAAGTATGTTTATACGTTCGTTCCCATTAAAAAATACCTTCCGGATTTTTACATTCTTGATGTACTTAAAGTTTCTGCAAAATTATTAGTGATTGAGTTCTGTTCAACACCGTTCTGCACAGTATTTAAGTTACCATGCAGTGTCAGCCTGATGCGAAATGAAACCCTGAAATGATGATGACCCTTTTGATGAAAAAAAACAGTGTCATACCAATAAACATAATCTCACATACCTTAAGGACAAGTCACAGTGAATTGCAGCGTCTTAGACGACTGAGCCACCCATGGCTACGAACAATTATTCAATTATTGATTCTGAGAAAAACCGCGTATACTATAATACTTATTACATTTGAAAGTTTGTATTTTTCAACATACGTTATTCTGATAATGCTAATGGATCTTGTTTCTATCCAATCCTCAGGCATCTGATTGTTGCCGAGAGCAGCAAAAACGCTTATGCCGGAAGTAGTTTTCCTGGCCTCGTTGACCTTCTTTTTGAAATCGCTACTGACCCGGACGTTGATGCTCGATGGACACGTGTAAAGCAACATTTCTCAGTGCTCCTCTTTACCATCCAATCAGCAGCCTCGACGCTTAGTGATGTAACCAGGTTCATGCCTGTTATAGAATAAAACATTCTGATGTTGTAATACTTCATCTGCATGTTTTCTTTGTATACCTGTGTCCTTGTGCATATAAGTGGGAAGACAGCAAAACATATTTTAGAGATGTATATTCTTCTGAATCGTTATTAGACAAAGACTTGTAATTGATATGGCTTCATGATTATTTCAAAGAGATGTTATATCGTGTGATGTCTTGGGTTGTAAACACAGATATGATATATTTGTAACCCATGCGGTGACCAAAATGGCATTCTTGGTTGTGAGGTTCGGTTGGAAAATTTGATGTCGGCAATAGTAATGATTGATGCAATTGATTGATGCGGGTAAACATAGCCTTAAATATTTCATTAATTTAAAACATAGCGAATAGTTTCTGTCATTGATTATATAAGTAAACGTGACAGGGGAAAAACTTGATCTGATTTGATCAACCAATAGCCATTCTAGGAAAGGAGCGCAATACAGGCTCAATTAAAGTTTGAGACACAGATGCATAGAATGAAGTTTTTCTGTGACTATATATGTATCTTGTAACATTTGGATTTATTCTGGCAATAAAAGAACTATATATACACAGAAGAAAAGTGTTGAGTGTTTGCTTTTTATGTGATTATTCGAGCACCGGGTCTCTCCATATACTGCGACATGTCCAAAACATTAACTGGGACCTTTAATAAGTATAAGTAAAAATGTTTGAAAGTATTGACACATAGAGAATCTCACCCTTGTGTCTTTTGATATCAAATATATCAAAATGATTTGATAAAAGTTGATAAGCATTCCGATGCTTGCCGAGGATGTTTGCCACTTTTATCAACGAGTGTTGATATATTTGATATCCAAAGGCACGAGGGTGAGATTTTATTTATCATCCAACATTATTCTTCAAACTTTTTTCAATTTGTAGACATTAATTAGCAGTGTCTTCAGTGTAAAGAGTACTGCTAACAACTTCAGTAGCAGAGCCATTAGTGATGTCTTTTTGACGTCATGGTAACCAGTGATGTCACAATGGTCTGCAAAGCATTGTGATGTAATTTCATTGCAGCGATATCTACAGTGTAAATATCGCTTGATCTCATCCAAGCGATATCTCCTGTGGGAGCCAGTTTTGGATGATAAAAAAGATAATACAAATCGTCTCTGCCCCTTAGTATCACCGCGTAAGGTGGTTGATGCCTTCAATGAAAGAGTCGCCACAATGAACAGGAATGAGTCCGTAAACCAGATGTATTTAGTATACGACATGACATAATTCGTTTTCCCACCAACCTAACCAAGCTCCTCACAGCGATAGCCCGTTCGCGGGGCTCTCTATACTATCGTTGCCACCAGTCAAAACTTCCCACTGTGATAGGTGGTCACAGCCATGCTTGGAGTTAACTCACAACCGACAGACCGTTATGCTTATAAACAAGCGATGACTGCCTAGACGCCGAATACTCTATCCTAACTAAATCATCTTCTTTGTCATTTTAAATTTCTATTTCATTTCAACTATCATGTAATTGGTACAGTTATGTAAGGGGGGAATTTGGGTGATTTTCCGTTCGTCTGCAATCTCGAACCAAATTAATCTGATCAAACAAGCCAAAAATTCAATTCATCTGGGAAATATGGTCAGTCGTAAACCTTTTAAAAATACCTGTATTGGCATTCCCAAAGACATAAACATTTCAAAAATTTCAAGATTCTTGTAATGGCCGCGCCCACACTGGTTGCAGCGATGTTACCGAAAGTGTAACGAAGGTGTCACGCGCTGGGAAGGAGCTTGCCAACTAACGACAATTCGACTTCCGGTACTTTGGTATGTTACACTAAACATGATTACAATTAGTGTCATCTTTATGCCATCCAGACATTCCGTCTGGTTACATAGTGCGTTTGAATGCCTCAAAATATCATTCAACGTGCCACTTTACGACATCGACCGACTGGGGACTTTTTTATGAATGAAGATCAGCGGGCTTCAAAATTCGGAAGGACCACAAAGAAAATAAGGCCTTTTAAATCTTTGTGCAATGAACAGTGCTATCAGTAAAAGATGTTTTATGAAAGACAGAAATTAGCACGAGTATTTCACCCATCGGGATAAAGTAACACGGGGATCCTTACATAACAACCTGTTCATAACATCTGATCTGTACACATAAAAGAAATTGCCGAACCCGTCCGCTGAAACTGGCTACCGCAGCATTTATATAATTGGAGTGTAGTGATAAATATGAGTGTTGATCATAAATAGTTTTGAAATACGTCCCGTGTAATACTAATGACATGTTGATTAAAAAGTCAAGGATGATTCAATATGATTGACAGTTAAGAGTAACTTATAAACCTAAACAAAAAATTAAAACGATACGCAAATGCACTTGAACACAAGAACTAGAGAATTCTAATTACTGAAATTTCAGCGTAGTATATGTTCGTTGACCTACACTTGCATTTCTATTTCAGCCCTATGGCTATTCGGGCTGTCAATGACCAGCTGACATTATTGGAGAAAGCGTTCTTGAACAATAATGGCTTACCAGGCAGGCCCTATAAAAAGTAAGAGATTAGTTATTTGCCTTGGAAATCGTGTTTTAATCCATTATAACGTACCTCTACGTTGAGGTAATATAATTAATTTACTTTACTGTGGGTATTCTGAAAACCGAGATCAAGCATTTACACTCATACTTTCAGACACCTCCTCCTGGCTGAGAGCAGCACAGACTCCTACGCCAGTAGTAGTTTCCCTGGCCTGGTTGACCTGCTGTTTGAGATAGAGAAGGCCCCGGATGTGGATGCACGCTGGGAACGTGTCAAGAGACATTTCTCCGTCATTCTGTTCACCATCGACTCGGCGGCGTCAACTCTACGGGATGTCATACGATTCATTCCAGAAAATGAATAACTTCCTTTCTTTTGTTCTTTTTTATATTGGATTTTTAATGCAATTTATAGTAATATTCGCTTAACGATAGAAATAAGGTCAGCATTTTATACTTTTGAAAGTCGTTGTTGCCAGTTCCGCTCTACATGGTTATTCTGGTTTTCTGGGTTGACGTTTTACCCTATTACAACATTGTTACCCAGATAACACTATTATTCTTGGATTTCCAATGTTGGCCCAATGAAGCGAAAACTTTTAGTTTGAAATATTTAAAAATCCAAGATGTACTGTAGCTTGCCTCCAACTTTCGGCGATAATTGAGGATAATTTAATCCAGAATATTATGTTCCGGAGGAACATTTACTATAATAATTTCTTTACAGGTGCCAGGTATTCCTTGTCTGATGGTGTGACAGTTTGATACAGAGCATGTACATGTAGCCATACTCATGATTATTTTCACAATCCATTATTATATATAAGCATTTTCTTTTTGTAGAAATATTTTGCAATGTTATTTTCTATATACTTATAGAATCCGTTCAGCACAAGTATTTACCTATTAACCATAGTGTTCTATGTTCGGTGCACCCTTTGTTTATAATTTAGTTCTTTTGGTTGTGTTGTATGAACCTATATAATCTGCGTAGCCATCAAGCAGCAATGTACAGCTGACACGTAACATCATGAACACTGTCCCTAGATGTACCCTTATGATAAACAGAAGTGTATTCAGCTCAAATAATTCTTAATGATTAACCAGATTCAGTTGTATTTATGTACGATCGTTGATGGGTAGTTGAGTGATGAGGTTACAGAATTTCTACACTTTCATTTGCCCTTGGTAATAAAGATGTATTTGTCGATAAGGTAAAACGTTCTTATTGTTTTTTCAGTACAATGATCTCTGTATGGGTGTGAAGAGCGTGGATATCATGATTTTTAACGCGGACTTTGGTAATTACGATTATATCATTACGCAAAGACAAGAGTAAATAGGTTTTCGGGACAACACTAAAGTTTTAATACAGAACGTCAAGGCATGAACGCAAGAAATCGATCATCTGTCGAAATAGAATCCACCGTGCGCACAAAAGCAAACCAGTGATGAAAACTATACGAATGGATCACTGAAAATTAGTAATGACACCATACCCGTGAAGATTCCGGGGTAGAATAGGTCTTCAGCAACCCATGCTTGCCGTAAAAGGCGACTATGCTTGTCGTAAAAGGCGACTAACGGGATCGGGTGGTCAGGCTCGCTGACTTGGTTGATGCATGTCATCGATCCGAATTGCGTGGATCGATGCTCATGATATTAATCACTTGATTGTCTGGTCCAGACTGGATTATTTACAGACCGCCGTCATATAGCAGAAATGTTGCTGAGAGCGGCGTTAAACAACAAACCAACCAACCAAAGTAATGACACCAGGTGTTCCCGAATAGGATAAGCGTGCCTTGAGACATGAAGCTGAGAAATTTGCATTACAAAGCGACGACGGCCTAAAAACAACCGAGACAACAGCGCCTTTGCTGATTTTGTTGCAACAAAAAGCGATACTTCGAAGCAAGGAAGTGATTATACCTTTGTTATTGTGGTAGCTAGAATGGACTTTTATGTTTTAAAGTTGTACTGTTTTCCGAAATCGGAAGTGGTGTCATTAAACCAGAAGTGCTTATGACTACACTTAAAACAGAATAAGTCATTGCTTGTAGTATTTTATACGTGAAGGGCCATGTTAGATTGTGACAGAAGTGTTTATTTGTTTGGCGCCGACATTTGTTTATACTGAGGAGGACGGTATGTACTAAGCATAATGCGTAGGCTCCACAGGTGGGACATTTGTTCCGAGCCGAGCACAATCGCTCTTTGAGATAAGTAGTCGTGGTCATTGTGACCGAATGTCTGAAAACATTGGACACTATGCATCACTGTCATTGTTTCCTCAGGAGTTGACATTGAGTTTATAGGACTGTGGCATCTACGACACCAGGTGAGATGCTGAGAGTGATCATTATCAACTTAAAACAATCGCAATGTAACAATAAGAGTAAAGCCTAATCGTGTCCAGGCATAACTGTTCTCGTTCTACAAGCTCATCTAAACTATATTACCACGCACTTTGGATTAATGAATTTGAACGTCAAACTACTCTCTGCAGTTCCTGTTATTTTGGTATATGTTTACTTATACTTATTTAAGGGCTCAGTTAATGTTTTTGACATGTCACAGTATATGGAGAGACCCGGTGCTCGAATAATCACATAAAAAGCAAACACTCAGCACTTTTCTTTTCTTCTGTGTATATATAGTTCTTTTATTGCCAGAATAAATCCAAATGTTACAAGATACATATATAGTCACAGGAAACTTCACAATATGCATCCGTGTCTCAAACTTTAATTGAGCCTGTATTGCTCTCCTTTCCTAGAACGGCTATTGGTTGATCAAATCAGATCAAGTTTTTTCCCTGTCACGTTTACTCATATAATCAATGACTGAAACTACTCGCTATATTTTAAATTAATGAAATATTTAAGGCTATGTTTACCCGCATCAATCAATTGCATCAATCATAACTATTGCCGACATCAAATGTTACAACCAAACCTAACAACCAAGAATGCCATTTTGGTCACCGCATGGCTTACAAATATATCATTTCTGTATTTACAACACAAGCCATTACGAAATATAACATCGCTTTGAAATAATCATGAAGCCATGTTAATTACAAGTCTTTGTCTAATAACGATTCAGAAGAATATATATCTCTAAAATATGTTTTGTTGTCTTCTCACTGAAATACACAAGGACACAGGTATTCAAAAAAACATTCAGTGGAAGTATTACAACATTAGAATTTTTTATTCTATGAGCAATATTTTATTCTATGATAGGCATGAACCTGATTACATCACTTAGCGTCGAGGCTGCTGATTGGATGGTAAAGAGGAGCACTGAGAAATGTTGCTTTACACGTGTCCATCGAGCATCAACGTCCGGGTCAGTAGCGATTTCAAAAAGAAGGTCAACGAGGCCAGGAAAACTACTCCCGGCATAAGCGTCTTTGCTGCTCTCGGCCACAATCAGATGCCTGAGGATTGGACAGAAACAAGATCCATTAGCATTATCAGAATAACGTATGTTGAAAAATAAAACTTTCAAATGTAATAAGTATTATAGTATACGCGGTTTTTCTCAGAATCAATAATTGAATAATTGTGCGTAGCCATGGGTGGCTCAGTCGCCTAAGACGCTGCAATTCACTGTGACTTGTCCTTAAGGTATGTGAGATTATGTTTATTGGTTTGACACTCGGTTTCATCAAAAGGGTTATCTTCCCAGATCATCATTTCAGGGTTTCATTCCACATTAGGCTGACACTGCATGGTAACTTAAATACTGTGCAGAGCAGTGTTGAACAGAACTCAATCACTAATAATTTTGCAGCACATAAAGTACATCAAGAATGTAAAAATCCAGAAGGTAATTTTTTATGGGAACGAACATATTAACATACTTCCTCGTGGGTCGGCCCGGCAATCCCTCATCGTCCAGAAACGCCTTCTCTAGCAGAAGCAGCTGGTCATTCACAGCACGAGTGGCCAGGGGACTGCAAGTATAGTCAGTAGAACTGCCAATATCTCACCCTTACCGTCACGAATTCCATACAGAGACATTTAATTACTGGCTGATGAAATGTCTCGAAACTTTCAGGGCGAGTTTTTATTAACATGGGTCTACCACTTACCTGCATGTGTGGCTGATTCCTATATCTTGGCAAGCATTGATTCCCTCAAAATGCATTGGATTTTCCATTACTTGGTTGCATAGCCTTTAAGTGACGTCGTCTATGAGATGTTCTGATGGATAAAGACCGTTAACAGAACTACTTACTCAAACTTGTTCAGTGACGATAGTCTTTCTTTGAACCTTTGAGATTCCCTCGTGAAGTTTGATATGGCGTCCTTAAGTTCATCTAACAACAGGCAATGACTATATGAGTGCAGGTAAAGAAACGAGGAAAAAAGGTTTCATAAGTCAAATCATAATTAACACTGGGTTTGAAATTCCATTCACCTGATAATTTTGTGAAGAAAATATTATTTAAATAAGTACACATTTAAATATTTCATTACGCGAACAAATCAAGATTTGATACACCAACTAGGTTCACTGGTATTTTCATTAAGACTTTGAGACTCTTTGATAACAAATAAACATTAATTTAGGATACACGTAACCCGGGGTACCGCAGAATGAATAAGATCTCTACCATAGTTATCTAAATTGTCCCTGAGTTTGGCCCCATGTTCTGTGTCCAGTGTTTGCCAGTATCTGTTGAGGGCCCAGCTGTAGTCGCTGACGTTGAAAGGGATGATGAGGGAGTCGGCAAGAGAACGTATAAGCTCCGCAGACAACCGGGAGATAGCGCGGTGACACTGAGGAGAGATGGAATATCTAATGTCTCTTGATACAGTGAACACACACTAAATCACTTGATTCCAGCTAGTATCAACAAGTTATCAATAAATTATTACACATACTGTCATTGGAATCGCAGTTCCGAAAATTGTCGATATCGCATCATGTTTCAACATATTGTAATCCCGAAATGAAATGAAAACAAGAACTTAGATCGAATTGTTCCTTCTCTGGTAATTTCAAGATATATGTCTCAGACATACATTAATGGTTCCTCATGTTTTCAGAAGAAGATGCATGTTATCAATGGCTGCCTCTTTTACATACTGATAAAAGACTCAGATCTCGAGGAATAATAAGTATCGCAGTAAGATTTAATCGTGTGTTGTGGGTTTGGAGACACACACCATGAGCAGGAAAGATGCATGTTATCAATGGCTGCCTCTTTTACATACTGATAAAAGACTCAGATCTCGAGGGATAATCAGTATCGCAGTAAGATTTGATCGTGTGTTGTGGATTTGGAGACACACACTATGAGCAGGAAAGATGCATGTTATCAATGGATGCCTCTTTAACATACTGATAAAAGACTCAGATCTCGAGAGATAATCAGTATCGCAGTAAGATTTGATCGTATGTTGTGGGTTTGGAGACACACACTATGAGCAGGAAAGATGCAAGTCCATCTTTGGTGACATTGAGAACAAGCAAACACCTTTGCCCAATCCCTACACGAGGTGACACCTTTGCCCAATCCCTACACGAGGTGACACCTTTGATATAGATGACATTACATCTTCAGAAGGAGGTGAAATAGATTCATATATGTTTGTGATAGACAGATCTAATCTTATTCTATTTCATAATCGATTAAAATAGCAATTCCTTTGGGGTATCCATGTCAGTATCTACCCAAACAAAAGAAACAAGAGAACATTTTTCTTTGGCAAAACAATTGAATGAAATTTCGAATTGTTTTTCTCACCTCAAAGTTGGGATCGATGAAATGTTTTACTGCGTAGAATGTTTCGTATATGGTGTGGTACAAGGCAAAGAACTGAACCGGACCCTTAGACTGGAAGAGTAAAACCATAAAATGTAAAGTCATTGAAATGTTAGCATAACCATCTTCGGAATAATAATAATCCCTTATCAGTGGTCAGGCATAAATGAACATCATAAGCGATATTATCACCAAGTATATGATATGACTTTGATAAGCATACATAATCCAATGTGAAGCCCAAATCCACGGATGCAATCCCAGTGAGTTGAACCAAGGTTGCATAATCACTTCCAGATCCCATGGAACCAATCCTGAAAACAAGTAAAGACGTCATAAATTATCCATCACAAAGTCAATATTCCTTCTCTACATTGCTTTCCATAAGAACCATGTAACATTTTCGTCACTATGAGTGAGTAAGTAAGTGATTATTAT